GAGTGGAAAAAACAAACACCAAAAAAAGCAATAATGAAGAAACTGAGAAACAAATGACATAAGGCCTACAGAAAACAAATAATGGGGTACCCGGCTGGCTCAGTTGTAGAGCGTGCGACTCTTGATCTTGTGAGTTCGAGCCCCACATTGGGTGTAGAAATTAGTTAAAAATAAAATCTGGGGTGCCTGGGTGGCTCAATCGTTAAACGTCTGCCTTCAGCTCAGGTCGTGATCCCAGGGTCCTGGGATCGAGCCCCATATCGGGCTTCCTGCTCAGGGAGAAGCCTGCTCCTCCCTCTCCCACTCCCCCTGCTTATGTTCCTGCTCTTGCTATCTCTCTTTGTGAAATAAATAAAATATAAAAAAAAGAAATCTTAAAAAAAAAAAATAAGATAACTGAGGTCAGTCTTCATCAGTAACTACTTTAAATGCAAGCAGAGTACATAAACTCTAATTAAAAGACAACTGGAAGGATGGATAAAAAGGACCAAATTCTATGCTATCTATAAGAGACTCATTTTGGGGCCCAAAGACAACAATACATTAAAAGTTACTATATACGTCTTTCATACAAATGTTGTAACATGAACTTTTGAAAAGTTGGGGATACTTGTATAGAAAATCAGAATCTCAATAGATTGAAATTTGTCAAATTGAAATTTGTCAAATATATTGAAATCCATGAGTACATAGCATATTAGAAATATTTTTTTAAAGCTAATTTATTACCTTCTCAGGATGAAAGAGAACCAATTCATTATCTTGGAAACGAAGTAAATAAAACAGAAAAATCTAGCATTTATCCTGCATTTTTATATGAACTGTTCCTCTGGGTAGCCAAATCACAGATGGGGGAAAGCATCTCTTTATGGCTAGTAAATGAAAATGAACAGACAGACAGATTTCTACTTTGCAGTTCCCACTGCATCAGTGCATTAGGCTCTGATCACCAATGGCATCCAGGGCTGCTACCATCACAACAGAAAAACCAGACACCAAGAATGTCTTGATGAAAGAACAGCACCTAGAGTCTGGCCAAAGAGGGTGAACCTGAATGTGCTCAGCTCCCTCGATCCAGCTGCCAGCTTGCAGAGGAACGTGCTGGACCAGTGGTGTTCAATGATGGGCCAAAGGGCCCAGTCCTTCAGCAAACTGTGAGGCCAGGAGAGGCAGGAAGAAGGGTGTGGACAGCCAGATTCAGACACAGCAGCTTAGTGAACAAGATTATACCACAATGTTCATACCACAGTTACACCTGAGTGACAAGCTGGAACAAACACAAGGAGGAGACCAGAATAAAGGTCCGGAATAGTGGCCGTTTTTGGAGTTGGGAGCAGACTGCATTTGGTTTGAGATGCATGGAGTGGCTTTGGGGGTGGTTGGCAAATTTGCAGTGGTGAGCTGAGTGGTGACCGCTGGGAGGTTACAGTAATCCCTATACTATGTCCTTACTTCCCACATCTGATTTTATTCTATAGCAAGGTAAAAAGTTAACATCTACTGTGAGCTTACAACATGTAAGGTACTGTTCTAAATTTTTTGCACATATTAATGCATTCCATTCTCCCAACAACTACGAAAGACAATTCTCACTTCTGTTTTACAGATAAGGAAACTGGAATACAGAAATTAGGTTATAACAAATGTAAGAAAAGATGCTACATCTCATTAGGATTCAAGGAAAAACAAATTCAATCATGATACCATTTTCCCAGCTTTCAGTAGGCAGGAATCTGCAAGTCGGATAATATTACCACAGGCAATTATAGAGAGAACTAAGGACTAGGAACCGTACTTCATATGGAAACGGAAACTCTGCACATGCTCTCTACATGGGTTAGGTACTAGGGAAATTTCCGGCAGGTACATAAGAAGACACGTACTAAGATGTTCACAGCAAGTTGTTTGTAAAAAAAAAAAACAAAACAAAACTGGAAAACATCAGAAAGAACAGAATAAATAAAATGTGGCATATTCGTGAGGGAAAAAACATAGCAGTTAAAATGAACTAAATAGCTCTGCAGATAACATCGATGTCTCTCACAAACACCCATAGTGAAAAAGGCAGGCTGCAAAATGAACCATACTGTATGATACCACTTGTTTTAAAAATAACACAAGTATGTATTCTTTGTATATACACTCATGTCTGTGAAGAGCTAATATTTGCTAAAGGGAAACTGAGTTGTGATCACAGCCTCCCAGGATGGGGAGGGGCTGTGACAGACTGGGGAGTCAAAGGCATTTCAATGTTATCTATTTTGTTTTGTTTTTAAAAACGTAAAGCAGGGGTGCCTGGGTGGCTCAGTCAGTTGGGCATCCGAGTCTTGGTTTCAGTTCAGGTCAAGGTCTCAGGGTCAGGCTCCGCGCTCAGCAGGGAGTCAGCTTGACACACTCTCTCTCCCTCTCCTTCTGCCCCTCCCCACCCCACACATGCACATTCTCTCTCACAAATAAATAAATCTTTAAAAAAATAAATAGGGGCGCCTGGGTGGCTCAGTCGTTGGGCGTCTGCCTTCAGCTCAGGTCATGATCCCAGGGTCCTGGGATTGAGCCCGCGTCGGGCTCCCTGCTTTGCAGGAAGCCTGTTTCTCCCTCTCCCGCTCCCCCTGCTTGTGTTCCTGCTCTCGCTCTCTCTCTGTCAAATGAATAAATAAAATCTTTAAAAACAAAACATAAATAAATAAATAAATAAAATAAAAATGCAAAGCAAATGCCCGATAATGGCTCATCAGTCCGGCGGTGGCGAGTGGGCATTGTAGGCTGCATCAGTTGGGCCTAAAGCTAACAGAGCACGCAGCATGGGGCGGCTCAGCAGTTGGGAGCCGTCTCAGAGCTGGCCTGCCCCTGGTGCAGGCTCGCATGCTGCCCCTCTGAGCCAGGCAACCTTAGCCATAGGTGGGCCCACCTCTCGGAGTTGCTGCACAGATGAGTTAATACGTGTCCAACTCCAGGAGCAGTGCCTGGCCCAGAGAACGGCACAGGGATGTGTCACCCAGGGCGGAGAGGTACCCCAGAGATGCTAATGGCAGAAAAGACAAGAGAGGTTACTGCTCTGTTCTTTGACCACGTTGTTCACCAGCATGTGGATAGGTCCGCTTTGTGAAAACTCATCAAGTACGTTTACGATTTATGCACTTTCTGTGTAAACAGGACACTTCAATGAAACAGGGAAAAAAAGAAGTGCGGAAAAACGTGTCAAACACCACTCTGGACCCAGCAACAGTCTATAAAGAAAGACGACGACCAAAGAACTAGAGATAGTTTCCCTGGAATATTGACAAAAAAGGAAAATTATCTACCACACATTTCGGTAAATGTTCCTTCCAAAGATAAAGTAAAAAGGAGCAAGAGCAAAGTTATGCACTTACAAAAAAAAGACACTGACTGTTGCAACAATTGCGGAAATCTCAATTTGAACAAAACATTACTGCTAAATTTGTAAGGGGCGTGTTCTTAAGTATTTATAGACAAAAGAAAAACCCCAGTAATTTCTAAAACTTGCTTTACAATAGTCCAGGGAAACAAAAGTAAGACAAGAGCCCAACGGAGCCTGGTAAGGGGTGGTCCCCGATAAAGCCGGGTATCGGGTATAGACAGGGCGCCGCGCTCTCCAGTTCCGTGACAAAGTCTACTTACAAGTTCTACCCTGAAAAATGGATCTAGTGATGGGTGGGGGGCATCCTCTGGCTCAAGAAAATCCAGTGAACATTCGACCGAGGACGACGCTGTGAGGAGCCACCAGCCCCCAGAGCTCTCTCCTGGTCAGACCCACGACGCCCCTGAGCCTGCGGGCGAGTCCTCGCGCCCCTGCACGCCCCGGGGAGTTACCTGCAGTTCTCCTGGAAGCGGCACTTTCCCTCCAGGAAGAACGGGCAGGGCTTCAGGGACTTGTGAGTGGGGTAGAGGTACAGCACCCGGACGCCCGTGGAGCCATCGTCGGCCTCTTCCGTGCCCACAATCATGGCGTTGTGGTACTCCAGGGTGCCCCAGGAGCTGTAGTAGGGCGCGTTCACCTTCCTCCCACTCCAGTCCTCCTCCGCGTCCTCCCCCTCGTCCTCCTCCTGCCCAGGCCCGCTGGGGGCTGGCTTTGCCTCTGGCTCAGGGGCGGTCTCCAGCTCTGCCCCGCGGGCTACAGGCCCCCCCACGCCTTCAGCAACGGCCTCCTGGAAAGCCAGGTACTCAGCATCGTCCTGGGCCGGGGGCTCTCCACCCAGGGCGGCCAGCCCCTTGCTCTTCCTGACCGACACCAGGCTGGCCTCGGTGAGCTCGATGAGCTCCTTCAGGTGCCCCTGCAGCTGGCGCAGGTCGGCCAGCTCGGAGGGGTCCAGGCCGGCACCCAGCGCCAGCTCCACCTGCTGCAGCTGGGCGTCGTAGGTCTGCAGCGCGGCCTGCAGGCTCTCCTCGTCCATCCTGAGAGGGCGGAAGGCGGGGCGGGCCCCTGGGTCCTCAGCGGGAGGCGCGGGAGCCAGAGCTGCAGGGAGGAGAAGCCGCTGAGCCCGGCTCGGCCGCCCTCATCGCCAGGCCTCCTCCGCGGGGCTGACAGCCAGCCCTGCGCGGCAGCCGCGCTCAGCGCTCCTCGCAACAGCCCGCGGAGCCGGCGCGGTGCTCCCTCCCGTTGGAGGGCCGGGAAAGGGCCGGGGGGTCTCGGACCCGCCGCTGGCCCACAGCCTCAGCTCCCTGCCCTCCGCCCCGCCGCCCTTCCCCTCCGGCTCCGCTCCGGCCGCGGCCTCCCCGCCCCGGCCCGTCTCCGCTCGACCTGTCACCTCGGGCCCCGGCCCCGTCGCCCAGATCGCGCCCCCGCGCCCGGGCCGGGCCCCTCCTCCGCGCGGGCCCCCGGCTGCCGCCATGGAGACCCCGCCGGCCTCACCGGCTACGGCGGCCGGCGCCCCCGCTTCCGCCCGCGCAGCCCACCGGCACCTCCTCCCGAGCGCCGCCGCCGCCGCCGCCGCCGCCGGAAGTGCCTCGCGCGGGGAGCGCCGGGACGCGGCGCGCGGGGAGCGCCGGGACGGCTCCGCCCCCCGCGGGCGGCCGGCCTGCGTCCCATCGGGCGCCGCGCGGGGTCGGCGCGGGGTCGGCGCGGGGTCGGCGGGGTCAGGAGCGCGGCGGCTCCGCGGCCCGGACGGGCGCAGGTGGGCCGCGGGGCCAGTCGCCGCCTCCCGGGCGGGTGGGGCCGAGCCGCGGGCCCGAGGGCGCGGCGGGGGCCTGCGGACGGGGCTCCGCCGTGACACCCGCTGTCCGGCCGGGCGCCGGGAGCCCGGGCGGCTCCCGCCGTGGTCGGTCCGCGCCACCCGCCGGCCGCACGGCCTCTCGGGGCCGCCGCCTCGCCGCCCCCACGCAGCCCCGCGTCGGAAAGCCGCCGGGGGCTCCCGTCGGGAGCTTGCCGGGCGTCTGCTGGGGGGGCTGGGGGGGCCCGGCCAGGGGCGCCGCCGAGCCCGGGGAAGCCTGACGTCTGGGCCGGGGCGGGGGGCGGGGATCGGGACCTGCTCCGCCTCCGGGAAGCTGAGTGCGCGGGGCGGGGCGGGGTGCGGTGGGGGTGAGGGCGGGGAGCCGGGCGGAGGGCAGCCCGGGGAGGAGTTGGGGCGGGCCTGGGGCCCCGTCCCCTCCCCCGGGCTGAGCGCGAAGCCGGGTCGGCCCGCGACGCGTGTCTCCCGGCGCACAGGGCAGGATGTATACGCTGCTGTCGGGCCTGTACAAGTACATGTTCCGGAAGGACGAGTACTGCATTCTGATCCTGGGCCTGGACAATGCCGGCAAGACGGTTGGTGCTTGTTCCTGGTCCCCACCCCTCCGAGGGCTCTCGGGGTCCACGCCCCTCGCTGCGTGCTTCATGTCCGCACAGAATCCCAACCCCGCTGAAGGCTGCGGGCCAGTCCCCGTCTGCTGCCGTAGAAAAGACCCGAGGAGGGATGTTTTGGAAACAGGCTTGGAAGGATCCGGGCCTCACCTACTGTGTGTCCGTCTCTTCTCAGACGTTCCTGGAGCAGTCAAAAACTCGCTTTAACAAGAACTACAAGGGGATGAGTTTGTCCAAGATCACTACCACCGTGGGTCTGAACAGTAAGGCGGTCCCTCAGGGCTGTGGGTTGTGGGGCCGACCCCACAGGCCAGCAGGCAGATGGTCAGCAGCCCCCGTGGGCCCCGCAATCCGGGAGCCCCAGCGCGGCTCGTCCCTCTCCCGGAGCCGGGGGTGGCGCGTCAGAGACCAGGGCCCCGGCGTCACCCGTCCTTCTCTCTCCCCAGTCGGCACTGTGGACGTGGGGAAGGCTCGCCTCATGTTCTGGGACTTAGGGGGCCAAGAAGAGCTGCAGTCTCTGTGGGACAAGGTAAGAGAGTCGCCACACATGGTCCCCGGCCATGCGCTGCCATTTTTCTCTAGGTGACACTCCTCCGCCCGTCCTCCTCTTCCTCAGAAGGCTGCAGATTCCCTTTGTTTCTTTCCCGTCAGCAGCTCTGTTCTTTAGGTTCCCCGTAGTTCTAGTCCAGGTCCCACGTCCTTCTTGGAAGAGCAAGGACACACTTGGTTTCTTTTGACTCAGAGATTTTACTGCTAATCACCACAGGACAAGACAGAAGATGGCCGAGAGACAGATGTGGGGAAGGGACAATGCCTGCGGGATGCTCAGCCTCACCACTGGGGCCTGAGTCTCCATGGCTGGGCCCCCTTCCTCTGCCTTAGGACTTGCCTTCTGTGGTGGCCTCTGACCCATCAGGGGAGGGTGTCCTCAGAGGCCTATAGCCGCTGCGTCCTCCCTGACATAGGTTCGGGGCACTTCTGGGACCCCAGTGTGATGCTCTTCCCCCCAGGCACTCCGACAGTGTGGTCATTTTCAGCTCGGCTGGTGCCTGGCCCTGTGGTCCAGCAGTGAGGTGGACAGGCCTAGCCTCTGCCTCAGGCAGCCCCCTCCTGGTGGAATTGGTGCAGCCCAACACTGGGGGCACAGATGGGCCTGTCCCAACACTGGCAGTGCTGGTTCGCTTGCCCCGATTCTGGAGGCGCAGGAGTGCTCACCCTGACGCTTACTGGTTGTGAGTGTGTTCAGAACTGAGCGTCCAGGTCCTGAGTTTGGTCTGACTGCAGCAGCTGGGGCCCAGTCACCTCTTCGCTGTCTGCCTCTAAAACGTCTGCTGTGGTTTCTGTCTGGTGGCTAGAAGGTCACCAACAGATTCTCTGGCCATTTAGGTTGGGCTGAGGCAGAGCGAAGCCAGGGCCTGCTTTTCTGAACCAAGACCCATGTGGGGAGGGAAATAGGACCGGACATTCTGTCACAGACCAGGGTCTCAGGAGCAGATGCTAAGATGGAGGTTGGGGTGCAGGATGTGTGTTGAGGACCAGCTCCTGAGAGGGGAGCTGGGAGAACGTGGGACTGGGCAGGGGGAAGGGTCAGGTCAGCTCAAGTGGGTGGCCCAGCAAGGACCCCTGGAGGAGAATTGCTCCTCACAGCTGCCCCACATCAGGCCAAGCTGGCGAGGATTCGTAACCGCCTGGTCCATCACCACGGTGGGCTGCCTTGGTCATCTGTGATTTGGGGAGGGGGCTCTTGGTGGGTTCAAGCACATCATGCAGGAGCCAACGGGTTCGTCCCCTGTATCCACTGGGCGCACTGCCCGCCGCTTGTACCCACAGCTCTGCCTGGGGCACGGCTTCTCCAGGGCTGCGTCCTCCACCCTAGCTACCACGCCTGCCGGTGGTGTGGCTCGTCACAGGAGTCTGAACCCCTGGTTGCTGAGCCCCACTTCTCTGCCTGACCTCTGGGTTCCTCATGAGCTTCTCGGCCCCCCATGGAGCGGGCCCCCTGCCTCTGCTGTTGGGGTCAGTTATCCCTGCCAGGGCGGGGTCTCTGCTGGTCCCCGAACCCACGGTGTCCAGCATGGCCAGCAGGCAGCCAGGGTTTGTGACTCAGCAGGTTTCTTGCCCAGTCTTTGGTAAAGGGGTGCCTTGGTGGTGACCATGCCCCCAACCCTTTAGGGCCCAGAGCTGTGAGGAGGGGCAGCAGAGCCCCCTGTGGGTCAGCAGGAGGGATGGGAAGTAGAGCTCCTGCTTCCTCCCCTGTTCCCAGATGCTGCGTCCTGGGGCCTGGCCGCCTGCACAGTCTGGCACCGGGATGCTGTGTTGGGCTTGCTATCGTTTTGTCCTGGGCGGATGACCGGTGGGCCTTCCCTGTGTCCACTGCCTCCACCCAGGCTGTGGGCTGCTGCCCAGGGGTCTGTCCACATACCAGCCCTGGGCCACAGCTTCCCACACAGAGGAGACTGGTGGACTACTGTGCCTGCCACAGGGGGCGCTGCTGGCCTCTGTTCCTCCAGGCCACACCTGAAAGATGTCCAGTGCGTGGCCACGGGTCATGCTGCCTTGGGGTCAGGGCAGCCTGCTGTGCCCTCAGTCCTGCTCACACTCAGCCCCACATGTCCAGTTCCCGTTGCTTTCACCACTGCCGAGCCATCACCTAACCACCCGTCTGCCTGGGCCGGGTCACACACTGCAGGGGTTGTGAGGTGATCCTCTCCCTGGGCTTGCTGCCAGCCCCATGCAGCGGCCCTTCCTGCCATGGACACCTCTGCTGTTGGGTCAGTCAGAGCACCTGCAGCAGCAACCCCCCCCCCCATCACCCAGCGTGTAGGCTAGGGGAATTGCTGTGGGGGTGACTTGGCGGCCTGCAGAACCCGGATGGCCACCTGGGTTGGGCTTCCTTCTCTGCAGCAAGCACAGATACAAAGCCTGTCTCGCATGGGGGGTGAGAGCTTTCAGCATGCCCTGGTTACACCCCGAGAATTCCCCAGAGCTGTTAGGCCTGTTCCTCTCCAGGGTCTTCGTTCACCAGCTGCTGGCTTGTCCTGCCTCTTGTCACGTCATGTGTAACGTGGGTGTCCCAGGTTTCTGGGCTCTCATGACAGCTGGGGCAAAGATGTTGCTGTCTGCTTAGCAGATGCGGGCACTTCAGTCTTCGTTTCTGATTGGGGTAGATGGCAGACTCACCAAATCTGTGGCTGCATCCCCCATCCCCACACTCCAGGGGCCCATCCCTCACAGGCCCCACTTGGTGCATCTTTCCAGTTTTGTCTGCACAGAACTCTTCCCCAGGCCCTGGGCTCTGGCACCATTGCCGTGTGCATGCCCAGGGCTGACCGCTGTCCTGGCCCCAGTCCAGCCCTCAGAGCTCCATGTTGCTGGCCTGGTCCTTAGCCCGGCCTCTCCCCTTGGTGGTCTTTGCGACTTACCAGTGGTATAGTCACCAGGCTTGCTGTCCACATTGGCATGTGGTTTGGTTAGTGTCCTCTTTCCCCTTCCAGAACTGTGTGGGGGCCAGCTTGGTTTGGGCTCCAGCTCCCAAGTCCTCTCCTTCTCCAGCCACCATTGGGCCAGCAGTCATGGGCGGTTTTCAGGAGCAGGTGCTGAAGTGGAGTTTGGGGGCACAGCACCTTGGAAGTGGACAGAGGGTGGTGGCCACCCCCTGCCCAAGGTCAGCAGGCCCTCCCTGAAGGAATCTAGAGCTGCATCGCCACTCCGCCCTACCTTCCCACTCCCTAAAGGCACCCCAGCAGGGCCTTCCAGTTGGGGAGGGGTGGCCCAGTGCCTGTGGCCCAGCACCCCCTTTCTTCCCTTCCCCAGTACTATGCAGAGTGCCACGGCGTCATCTACGTCATCGATTCCACGGATGAGGAGAGGCTTTCAGAGTCCAAGCGAGCGTTTGGTGCGTACAGCCTGGCGAGGGCCGGGAGGGGCTGGGGAATGGCCAGGTCCGGTGTGGAGCACACCTTGGCTGGAGGTCGGGCCCACAGCAGGCAGATGGGGCCGTGGCCAAGAGTGAGATGCAAACTTGTAGAGAGGTGGGCAGGCCTCGGCAGTCAGAGGCAGGTGAAGGGTGCTCACTGCTGTCTTTCTGCGCACCCCAGAGAAGATGGTCACGAGTGAGGCGCTGGACGGTGTCCCCATCCTGGTGCTGGCCAACAAGCAGGACGTTGAGGTGAGCCTCTCATCCCAGCATCCCCGCCCTGTGGTCCCCAGAGTAAGCGTACCCCATCGCCAGGAGTTGGGGGACAGGGTGCCTGCCTGCCCTGGAAACTCCAAACCATGTGTGTCCCAGGTGCACAGAGCCCTCCCAGGTGCAGGCTTCTCTCCACAGGAGGGCAGGTGTGGCCTGTCCTTCTGCCCCTGGTGTGGCTGGAGGTGTGGTGGGGAGACCCAGTGCACAAAGGGATCCCAGGGTGGGAGCCCGCTCCAACCTTGGCCGGTCTGCCCCCCTTGGGATTGCTTCAGCTGGGCAGTGGCTGCGCCGTGGCAGGCTGCTGGGTGGGGGGGGCTCTGCAGGGCAGTGGCTGCGCCGTGGCAGTCTGCTCAGGGGGGGGCTCTGCGGGGGAGTGAGTGGCTGCGCCGTGGCAGTCTGCTGAGTGGGGGGGGCTGTGCGCGGCAGTAGCTGCGCCGTGGCAGTCTGCAGGGGTGGAGGCTCTGCGGGGCCCGTTTCTGCAGCACGTGTGCCCTCGGGTCAGAGGCGCTGGAGGTCACTTCGTCTGGTCTGCCCCTCACTTCCTGTGGACCGTCGGTGCTACCTCTTTCCTCTCTCTGAGACCACTCGTCGCAGGAGCCCTCTAGGCAGAGAAGCCCTGAGCCCAGCCCCTCACCACCAAGACCGTGTCCTGCCCCAGGGGCCAGGGCGTTTCCTGCAGTGCCTGGGACCCTGCTCCTCACTGCTTCGCCTTCCCCCAGACTTGCCTCTCGATCCCTGACATCAAGACTGCGTTCAGCGACTGCACCTCCAAGATCGGCAGGCGCGACTGCCTGACCCAGGCCTGCTCGGCCCTCACGGGGTGAGTGGGGCTCTTGCCCCGGGGGCTGGGGGCCCCAGCTGGCCCCCCCTCACGCCTGCTGTCTCCACAGCAAAGGGGTGCGCGAGGGCATCGAGTGGATGGTGAAGTGCGTCGTGCGGAACGTGCACCGGCCACCACGGCAGAGGGACATCACGTAGGCGTGGCTGGTGCCCACGGGTGCCCACGACATCCCTGAGTGCCAGAGGAGTGCTCCTGCCAGCTCCCCGCTGCCAGTCCCGGGGGTTGGGTTTGCTTGGCTCTCGGTTCTTCATATGCTTTGTTTTTTCTTTAAGACAAACTTTTCCCTGTGTCCATACAAGTGTAGGTATCGGGAGGCTTCTGCTGAGGGGAGTCGGGGCAGCAGGGCCCCCACACGACCCCTGCCGGGCCTGCTGGGGTGAGGTCTCCCTTTGCAGCTGCTGCCTCAGCAGCCCTGCCTGCCTTTCCCAGGGAGTCCTGTCTGGAAACGGGCTTCCCTGGAGCTGCTCTGTGCAGGCCCCCATGGGGGAGGCTCTTGGGGTCATGACTGTCCTCGGTCTCCGTGGAGATGGGCTGGTGTCCTCTTGAGGGAGGGAGACCCGGCCCCCTTTGCTGGAGGCCAGCAGAGCCCTGGGTTCTGGGCCCTCAGGATGGGGCACGGGAGATCGTCCACTGGGCTGACATCCCCAGCAGGAGGGGAAGGAGCGAGCGTCTCCCTCTCTGAGTGTCTGTGGCCGATCTGGGACAGCCAGTTGCCCACACTGGGGGTGGGGGTGCACGGTGGGGGCGTTGGGAAGGTGGGCGGGGTTCCCGTGGAGCCCAGGTTGGTGCTGTGCTGGGCCTTCATTCCCAGCTGGGGGGGAGGGACAAGCTGTCTCGAAACCCGCTTCCGGGCCTGTGCCTGGCAACAGGGCCCCCTCCCCGGGTGAGACTGGTCCTGGGGACCCTCCCGACATGGCCCCGCTGGAGCTGGCAACAGCTACTGGCTGGGGTGTGTCCAGGATGGCGGTCCAAGTCGCTGCTGGCCATCGCCCCTCCAGGAACCCGACCTTGGATTGTGGACTCCTGGCTGTCTGGGCACAGTGACCATGGCACAAGGGGCCCCCAAGGCTGGAGCTGTGACCTACCTGGGCACCGCCTTCCTGCTTCGGCAGGAATGGCTGAGCCAGAGCCGGGCACCTGGTGGCTTCCTGTCTGAGGTCCGGGCCCTGGTGGGACCCTGGGAGGGGTTGCTGAGAAAGGCTGAGTCAGGGCTGGGGGTGGGGAGGCAGCTGCAGGTGAGGTGACTCATGGGGATCACGCACGGGGCTCCAGGGCCCATGGGGCGGGCTGGGAGTCCCCCAGGCTGCTCGGGAGCCGTCCAGCCCTTCTCTGAGTCTGCCTGAGGGGAAAAGCCTTGTTTCCCAGAAAAGGGGTGGGACGCACCCAGCCTGGGGGAGGTCCTTGGCCCTTCCGGTCCTGGGAAGTCCTGGGAAATCCCCTGAGTGCTGGGACTGGGTGGGGCTCACTTGGAGGGGCAGGGTCAGGGTGAGGGGGCAGGGTCTCCTGGCGGCGCAGGGCACAGGCCTCTGCTGCCGGGTCCGAGCTGGGTCCTGTTCCGCAGCAAGAGCCCCTAGACTTGGTGTGACCCTCCCTCCACGCTGTCGTAGCCACAGAGCGTGACTTAGGGGTCATGGAGCGAGTCAGGGACGTCCGTGGTGTCCACAGCTGGAAGGGACGCACCTGCTACCCGCTGGCGTCTCTAACGATCTCTCCCATCGAGGGTCTGTCCCACTTGGGGTGACCAGGCAGAGGAAACGTGGGGAGCTTGAGGGCCCACCCGGGAGGGTGTCCCCACCAGATGTGCCCACTGTGCACTCCGGAGATACACACGGTTTCACACAACCCATTTTACAAAACGGCTTTATAAAAAATAAACTTTGTTAGTGCAACAGGAGCCTAGTCGGTCAGTTGAGGTTACTTTGGTGCTATGGGGGTGACGCCCATGTGGGGCCAAAGCTTGGGAGCAGAATAAACGGGGGGCAGGGCGCTCAGTGCACCCAGAAGCGTGTGCGGACACTGCGCTCCAGCCCAGGCAGCCTGGCCTCCCGCAGCGCCCCCAGCAGCCGCGCCCCCAGCGCCCCAGCCTGTGCGCCCTGGAGCTCCGCAAGCAGCTGCCGCAGCTTGCGCTGCAGGTCCGCGCGGCCCTCCCTCGGCGCCACCAGACCTTGGGCCTCTGGGCCCGCCAAGGCCTGCCACAGCCGCAGGAGCCTCTTGGAGGATATGTCCTGGAAAGCCACGAAGTCAATGACGGCGCGCTCGCACTCCTCAGCCCCTGCGGGAGGGTCAGGGTGCAGTGATCGAGGCCTCCGTCTGCCCCAGGGGGACACCCAGGAGAGCAGTCCCTGCCCCGTGGGTTCAGGGCAGAGGTGGAAGGCCAGGCCAGCAAGGAGGTGCGGGAGTGCTGGGGGACAGGCACGGGGCTGGGAGAGGCCAGGGGCCCCAGGGTGCAGGGGTGAGATGCCACGTCACTGCTGTGTGACCTCCAGAAAGCGGTTTAGACTCCCTGGGACTCCGTTTCCCCCGGGGGGAGGAGAGCACCACCTGCCAGCGCCGAAACCACAGAGCGATCACTGGTGCCACCGCAGAGGCCAGCTAAATGTTCCGTGCTCCAGGGCGGCGCTCGCCCCGCTCCCCTGGCCCCTTCCCCCCACTCACCTGGCTCCCCTGGCGCCGCGGTGCTGAGCGGGAAGCCCGTGCAGCTCGTGCACAGGGCATCGTGGGAGGAGGAGCCCGGCACGTTGAGGACCAGGCCCAGGGCCGTGCAGTTGCGGTGGGCCTGGCACTGCTCGGAGCTGGAGCTGCTGGCCGAGAAGGTGCCGGGGGGACACGGCTGGCACTGCGTGTTCCGGCTGGGGGTGCCTGGGGACGACACGGGGAGGAAGGGGTCAGGGGGAGCTGGGGTGCTGTCCCCGGCGGCGGCCGACGTCCCAGGCCCTAGCCACCGGCCCCGCCGCCCACCGCGACCCCCGGCCCACCGGGGACGGCCACGCCGGTGCCGGGCGGGCAAGGGGCGTGCTCCAGGCAGAAGCCGGCGTGCGCGAAGAAGCCGGGGCGGCAGCGGCAGGCGCGGTTGTGGGTGGCCTCGCAGGGCCGCGCCTCCTCCTCGCGCTCCCCGCAGATGACGTTGCAGTAGCGACAGCGCTCCAGGTAGTTCCAGAACTGGGTGTAGTGACGTGGAGGGCACGCCCCGCACATGGTGGGGGTGTCCCGGCCGCAGGGCCGCCGCACGAAGGTGCCTGGGGGGCACTGGCTGCACAGCAGCCACTCCCGCGTCTCCGCGTCCCGCCACGGGTAGGTGAGCGCGCCGGCCGCGCCCGCCCCCGCGCCCCCCGCGCCCGCCGCGCCCGCCGCCAGGGCCAGCAGCAGGGTGGGCAGCGCGCTCGGCCGGGTCTGGGGCGCTGCGCCCCGCCTCTCCAGTGTCCACATGGCTCTCACTGGGGCAGCGGCTCGCTCTCCGCGGGGCCCAGCGGCAGGGACACCAGGACGCTGCGCCCAGGCACCGGCAGCCCCGCCCTCAGCCGCTGCCACCCCACTCCGACTTGGGCAGCGGCGGCGGCCTATATGGGCTGGCCTTGCCACGCCCCTGGGGAGGGCTCACCACCTCCGGGGGGCCACACTCCCAGCCGGTTCTCTGCAGCGTCACCACCGCGCGGCCCCTCCCTCACCGGGAAGCCCCCTCCCCCTCCCCCGTCTGGCGCTGGCCTGCTTGAGCGCGGAGTCCAGGGATCCGGCCGGTGAGGGCGCCCCCCCTGCACCAGGACCGGCAGCGGGGGTGCTGGGACGTGGGGACGTCCCAAGCGCTGCTCCCCTCGGGTGTCCCGCATCTTCCCAGCCCGCTGGGCGGACACAGCGCTCGGCAGGCCCTTGCATGGACAGGGTGGGAGGGGGACCCCCACTCAGACACCCACATCTTCCTCCCCAGCACCCTCAAGCCCCTCCGCCAAGCCCCGATACAGTGTCAGCAACTTTATTAGACAGCCGGTCACCTGATCAAAAGCAGGTCCACAGCCCACACACAGGTCCCGCCGTGGAGGGAGCAGAGGGCCCCCCACCTTCCAGTCCTGAGCTCCTGACGCTCCATCCACAAGCCGGCGGCCAAGGGAAGCGAGCCAACCCACCCAGACCCTAAGGTGGCTTCGGGGCATCTAGGCGGGCGCAGACCCCGCCGGGAGACCCGTGTCCACACGGTGTCATTCTGCCCCAGTGTCTCCACGCTCACTGGGGCTCTGGCCAGAAGACCTGCGTGATGCTCTGCTTCCTGGCGGGGGCGTGGCAGGCCGGGCATGTTCTAGAAGCCTGTGGAGACAGGGAGTGCTGCACGGGCGCCACCGCCCACCCCTCCCCAGCCCACCAGCTGGGGGACTGCTGACGCGCGTGTCCACAGGCCCCGTGGCCAACCTGCAGGAGCTGGCGCCAGCAGGCCCGGCAGCGCTGCAAGTCGCAGGAGGGGCACTGGAAGGGGACCGTGTCCTCCGCCCTGCAGCCAGGGCACGCCAAGCCTGCTGGGAGGGGGCCACCGTGAGCACGCTGCAGCTCGTCCGCCCCGCGGCCACCACTGCCCCTGGCCCCTCTCGAGACCGACCCCACTCGGACGGGGCGTGCCTGCGGGCGGCGCGGGGGTGCTGGCTGGGAGCCCCGCCATCCCCAGCCTGCCTCTGAGCAAGGAAGGCCGACAGCTTGCTCTGGGCCCTCCGGGGTGTCTCTTGCTGGGGGGGCCCTGGAGACAGAGGGGCGAGTCTGACGGGGCGGGCGGCTGGGGCTTCTCTGCCTGCCGGACTGAGTGGGGCTCGGGGGACGCTGGATTACCTGGCCTGGAAGCACCGTGGGCGAGGTCAGGGGGCACAGTGGGGCTCCCCTCCTGGGGGCCTGGAGGCCCAGTACCTGCGCTCCGGGCAGCCGGGCCCATCAGGTCTATGCACGTCTGCCGGAAACGCTGCTTGTGGTGGGGTCGCAAGAACATGCCAAACCCTGTGGGGGGAGAGTCAGGCTCAGCCCTGCCCCCAGTCCCTCCCAGCCCCTCACCCCGCCAAGTCCCCTCTGTGGCCACTTGCTCTGCAATAGGGGCAGGTCCTCAGGCCTTGAGGTTGTGAGTGCGGCCACCACGGCCACCACCCTCTCGAAGTCATCGTCCTGTTTGTAGGTGGTCAGTGCCGCCAGGAGCTGGCTGCAGCCTGCGGACCCCAGGGCCTTTCGGACATCCGCCAAGTAGGCGCTCACGGCAGGCTGGCCTTGCTTCTCTGCGCTGGGGGCTCTACACCCCTCCTTGGGACAGCTGCCAGGGTCTCCTGGTGAGGAGGTAACAGGTCTTGGACCACGCCAGGGGTCTGGGGGCCCAGAGAGCTCCATGGGCATCCTGGGAACCCCTTCACACCAGCCGCCTCCCTCGCTCTGGAGGTGCAGAACCAGAAGAGCCCCCCGCCGCCCCGCCCCCCCGAGACTCCTCCCCGCCAGGGGTCTTCAGCTATTTCTGGTTCAGGGACGGGTACCTGCAGGGGCTGGCCCGGAGACCAGGTGGGGTCTGCCTTGGTTCAGGTGCTGTCCGGGGTCCAGCTGCCTGGCTGCACCCTGGGACAGGGTCAGCTTTGAGTCCCACTCCTTCCCTCCTGAAGGAACATGGACACACGAAGAGCTATTCAGCTGGTCCCCAAGGGTCTGGAGTGCTCCCTGGGGAGAAGGCAGGTCTATCCAAGGGGAGACTGAGACCACAACCCTCCTCAGACCACAGCAGGGAGACTGAGACTTGCACCCAGGGGGATGGCATGGAGACACCCCAGTGGACACCAAGCCCAGAAAGGAGAGGGGTGACTCTCAGGCTGGAAGATCCCCTGCGAAGGGCCAAGGAGTCTTCCTAACCAGGCCCCCAAGACACATGTCCTTGCTCGGGAAGTCCCTGCTCAAGGGTCGGCTACTGAATGGGGACAGAAGCTCCCAAGCTCTGCAGACGCAGGGCCCACCATGCTTGTGCGACTTGCAGGGGGCCGGGGCCTGGGCCGTGCGTGCTTCGGGGGGGCACACACATGCAGTCGCCTGCCCTGCTCTTGGGGGGTGGCTGGAGGGTCCTGCTCACCGCTGGGGGCCTGGGCCGCCGGTGCCCACTGCCTCTGAGGAAGGCTGTGCTCGGGCCGGGAGCCGCAGCCGCGGCCCGTCCGCTGGAGGCAGGCCTCCTCAAATCGCAGCTTGTGGTGTGGCCGCACAAACTGGTAGAAGCCTGTGGGGAGGGGCGTCTGGGCCTGCGGGCTCCACCGTGCCGAGCCGGCCAGCCAGCCCCACCTCCTCTCGGGAGCAGGGACCACCGTGGACCCTGGTGCCCACCCCCTCCAACGGCTGCGGCACTGCCCCTCCCCCCAATGGGTGACCGCAGCAGGCCAGGGCACCTTGGAGCAGGCTGTGCTTCTTGGGGTCCTCAGCAAAGAGGGGGCCGAGGCAGGCCAGCAAAGCCTCCACGTCGTCGGAGCCCTTGTAGTCCTGCAGGGCCCTGGTGAAGGTGTCGAAGCTGGCCTGGCTCAGCGCCTGCTTCACGGCCACCATGAACAGCTTGGCCCTGCCCGCCTGCGTACCGGCGGCCGGCCCCTCCTGCTCAACACAGGACCAGATGCCCCATCAGCCGGGGCCACCGTGCTTCCCCGAGAGGTAGCTGCTGCTGCAGAGGACAACTGCCGGGAAGGAGGCCCTAGTCCCGAGGCACGGCTGCGCTGGGCTGGGAGGGAGGGGGCGCGGCGGCTTCAGCTTAAGACAGCCATGCCCCTCTGGGAGCAGAGGCGGCCAAGTGCAGATCTGTTCGCCCTGGGCTGGGGGCTCCCGGCCCTCTGCCAAGTCCCCTGCGCCCACGCAGCAGGCGGCCCTGGCTCAAGGGGCAGTCAGCTCACAGGAAGGGTACTTCTTGACATCCCCACGCCTCCTCTCTGCTGCACATCTCAGGCCCGCACACTGGACCCTCAGCAGGGAAGCCCAGAAAGCAGACGGGAGAGGTCCAGGCTCCCCAGTCTCCATCCAGCTTGGCCGGATGCCAAGGCCCCTGGCACCCTGCCCACTTCCCGACAGCAACAGCCCCCCCAGCCCCGCCCAGTTCTTCCCAGAAGCTGAGGGACATGGACAAAGATGAGTGGTTCATGGGGCTTTCCAGAGCTTTCCTGGCTCGAATTAGCTCAGGGGCCCCTCAGCGCTTTCCTCTGAGGCTGGCTGAGAAGCAGGCCCTCCCCACAGCTGGGCACGTTAGCGCCCACACATGAGCACTGACTGGGGGAGCTGCTCTGGCTGCAGGCCCCACACCGAACCTGACTTCTGTCTGGCTGGACCCTGGCGTACCATCCATAAAGTGCTCTCCCGGAAAAGCAAAACTAGACGCGAGGCCCAAAGCTAACCCCAAGTGTGCAGGACTCAAAAGCATGGAGGAGCCACCCCAGGTTGAAAAGACACTGTGGGGCCTGCGGAAGGCGAAGAGGTCAGGCAGGGCAATGCTGCACAGCTGGGGCGCAGGCTGCTGCTGAGAGGCTCTCACAGTAAGAAGTTAAAATGGAAGAGAGACCCGGAACCTGTGCGGGGCAGGGCCCAGACACAGAGTGGCACAGATGCGGGAGGCAGCAGAGACCACGCCTGAGCCCAGGGGGCGGAAGGAGGTCCTGGGAGTGGTCAGAACAGGCTCATCCACGAAGACAAGACGCTCAAAAGATGCTCACTTAAACGTTCCAGCCAAACAGAGGTGGGGATGGCGCAGGCCTCGGACTGCCGAGGGCACGGGGCCACGCTGCCCCCCGGGAGGCAGCAAGGGGGCCCTGCCTCAGACCCGGCCCCCCACCTCACACTCCCCGGTCAGCACCGGGCGCCACGCAGCCTGGGGCTCCTGCCCCACCCCACCCCCATATGCGTGTGGGTGGTTTACGTACCTGGTGGCCACCGACTACCCTGATCTTCCTCCGCCCTGCTCTCTGCTCCTGGGCACGCCTCTTCTCACGTGGGAGGGACACGGTGGAGAGACCTTGTGCCTGAGGGTGACACACTGTGGTCCTGGCCGTGCCCTCCAAGCCCCCAAAGCCCCGTGACACTGCCAGGGCCCACAGCTGGGGAGACGGGCCCTCTCCCGAGGCAGCACCACTGGCCCCCTCGTGGCCCGCAGCGCCGGCAGCCAGCTGTCACGGTGCCTGGGGGGCTCGGACGGCACTGGCTGTTGCAGCTGGGCTTGCCCCAGGGCCCAGGGAGCGGGACAGGGAAGGGCAGGGATGCGCCCAGGGGCAAGCCCGGGCAGGGAGCTATGGGCTTCAGTGCGAAGGCTCCAGGGGAGGAGCTGTGCCCCCCACAGCTCGGGATCCCAGAAAGGGCTGGCCTCTGGTGCAGGAGGAGCCGGACACTGACTGGCCCGTGTCAACTCCCGCAAAGCCCGCAGTGGGGGTAGGGGGAGCCCCAGCTGAGGGCCCGGGGCAAGGCAGGCACACAGCACGGCCAGGTGGCAGAGCCCGGGCGGTCTGCCTGTCTGGACACCCCGCACCTCCTCCTCCTCCCCAGGGGAGGCCTTGTCCCCAGGTTCCCCGGCCAGCTGCTCGCTGTGCTCGAGGGCGGCCAGCAGTCCCACAGGCCTCCGCCGGGTGAGGCCCGACTCCTGCCCATACTCCACACACAGGCTGCTCTCGGCGTTCCTGGTGGCTGGCGATCCTGCGGGAGCACAGGCATCAGCAGCAGAGCCCAGGGGACGGGAGGGGGCGGCTCAAGCCAGGTTGTCCCCCCCGCCCCCGCAACGCTCGGGCTCAGCCAGGCACTCTGGTCATCAGGCCAGGTGTGCCACCAGCTGGCTGGAAGCGGCCCCAAGGCCCCGCCCTGCAGGGCCCCCAACCGGCCCTGCCACCCCAGCACACGCACCTGAGGGTCTGCGCCTCAGGCTGGGGACGTGCACGTCCGGACTCCTGGCTTTCCTGGTGGAGAGGGGGCCAGGCGACACAGCCACCATGACAGCACCTCCTCCCTCAGCCCGACTCGGGGCAGCAGCCAGGGGGGCCAGCACGGGCATCTGCACAGGACGGGGGGTTGGGGGTCCTGCACAGACCCTTCCCCTGGGTAGGGCATGAGGACACAGCCGGCTGGCCATTAGGAACTCACAGTTTTCTGAGCAACACGGAAGAACTGGGCCACATCCCGAATGACGGGGCCAAAGCTGTCATACACCTTGACGTGGGGGCGCACCCAGGAAGGCAGCTGGGCTCTGGCGTCTGCATGGGTGAACCTGGCAGGGGGTGGCTGTCAGCTTGGGAGCCCCACCCAGCCCACAGCCCAGAGCCCAGGGCCCAGGCCCAGGCCCAGGCCCAGCACCCAGCTGGTGCCCGAGAGGCCGCGGGGCAGGGGTTTTGTGCGAGCCATGCAAAGCCGCACCTGTGGTCACACAAGAAGACAGCCCCGTAGTCCTGGCGATGCCGGATCACCCGTCCGATGGCCTGGTTCACGGCCCTGGATGCCTGCTGCCGGTACCACTCGTGCCCAGAGAGGAGCTGTTGGGAGGGGGCTCGGTCATGGGGGCTCCAGCCCTTCCCGTCCGCCCCCACACAAGCCCGTGGCCCCTCACCTGGCCTCCAGGCCCACCACGGCCCTTCAACTCGTCCAGGAACTGCATCTTGAGGACAACCCGCGGGTCCATCCGTGGAGGGTACGGCAGGCCCGTGACAATCACACCTCGGCCGTTCATGTCCGCGAAGTCCAGGCCCTCGCTGGCCTGGGGAGCAGTGGGCACTCTTTTCCCCCGTTTGCCACGCCCAGACCCTCAGAGGCACACGCATCCACGTACGGGTGGGGACAGGGAAGCCTCCCACCCCGGGCTGGGCCCTCCGTGGGAGTCACAGCCCCCAGGGCCTCTCACGTTCACAGAACTCCCGCCGTCCTTGCCACCTGCAGCCCGAGAGGGGCGCTCACTCCCAGGGACCCACTGCTTGTCGACTGCCCAGTGAGGGACAGTAGGGCTCCGCCCTCCTAACGCAAACTTGCTGGACTTGGGGCTCCGGGGAGGGGGTCGGGCTGGCCCATCCCACCATGTCGCAGCCCCCAGGTCCCAAGCTGAGAGCTTCCCCCCAGCACAGGCACCAGACAGGGGCTGTGAGTGTGGGACCCAGACCCTCGTGAGCCTCACCTTTCCCCGGCACACGGCCAGGAAAGAGGCCCCGCTAGACCCAGGGGAGGCGACTCGCGTACAGTAGGCGTCCACCACCTGGAAGGAGAGACTGGTCAGCCCCTTCCTTCTGTGGGAGTGAGACCTCAGGTCTCATCCTCTGAGATGAACGGCTATCTGGCTGGAAGGTGGGCCAGCAGGATTCTAGGAGCTTCCTCACGGCATGGGTTCCCAGGCTGACCCAGAGCCTGCTCAGTGTTTCCCAGAAAGCACGGGGACCCCGGGGCTCGGGGGGGCAGGGGAAGGTGGAGCCTTGCTTCAGTGTCGGCCCCTCAGACACAAGGGCCTGGGGCCAGACAGGTCAGGTCCACGTGAGCCCCTGGTTGGGGACAGTGGCCAGCCGGGGCAGCCATGAGGGGCAGTGGAGCCCCGAGAGCTCAGACCTCTGAGAAGCCACCTTTGCTCCTCGGCTCCACGAACACAGGCTTCAGGGCCTCCAGCTTCCTGGCGAAGTCATGGGCCTGTGAGAAGAGAGGGGGAAAGGGACTCCTGTCGTGTCAGGTCTCAGACCTCAGACAAAGGCCCGTGCCCTGGCCCTGCCAGACCCTTGGCTGCTTGGGGCTCCCCTCCCCACCTGGGACACACAGAAGGGGGACGCACCCGCCAGAACTCCAGGCTCTTCTCCATGACGGGGTAGGAAGGGAAGAAGACCAGGAGCCCATGGGGGACCACGCGGGCGATGTTGCCTAGAAGGGCCGGGGCTGTGCTCAGCAGGACGGGGTGTTCACAGAGGCTGCCAGTGGTTCCCACCAGGGAAAGCAGGCATGGCAGGGATCCCCAGACACCCGGGAACGGGGTGGGAGCCCAAGACGGAGCTCAGGGCTTCCCACGGGCACTCACCTAGCGCCTTACCCAGGGAGGACAAGCATGCATCAGAAAACCTGCACAAAGCCGAGAGCCCACAGTCACAAGGGTCCGGGCACGTGGCACACAGCCAGCCCACCTCCTCACCCGCCAGGCCCCCTACCGTTTGTCAAAGGCAGAGCTCAGCTGGGCTCCATCGGGGCCTTTGGGGACAATCCCCACCCAGATCTGCTGTTTGTCGATGACGTGCGGGTTCTCTAGGCAGACGGGGAAAGGGCTGCGGGCGGCAGGGCAGCTCCTGTGAGCTCTTGAACCCCCGGATCCTCAAGCCGGGGTTGGCCTTGGCACCCCCACCCCCACAGGGCGTGGGGCAGCCCTTACATCTGCATCTCCAGGGCAAAGGAGGACACGGGAGCCAGTGTGCCGCTGGTGAGGATGACGGTGCGGACGCCCTGGCGGACCAGCTCTCGCATGCTGTGGCCGGGACTGAAGCACCAGTAGCTCAGTACCTTCCCTAGGGGGACGAGCGTGAGGCTGGGCTAGACACGTGAGGCCTGCCACAGGGGCAGCCCGCCACAGGCGGCCGCTGGGCCCTGCACCCCACATGCACAAGTCTGAGCAAGGGGGGGCCTGCCTGGGCCTTGATCTGAGTGTCTGGGCTGGGGCCCTCCTTCCTCCCTCAGACGTCCCGGGAGTGTAAGCAGATCCAGAGCGGGCCCCCGGGGGCAGACACCGGGGTCCCCTCCAGAAAGGACAGCCAACCCCAACCCAGACCTGCACAGAGCCTGACATGTGGCCGAGGGCACACAGAGCAGGCATGGTGGCTGCCACTACGGGCCCCAGGCCAAAGGGCACAACGGGAAGGAAGCAGAACCCACCTCTGCTCACAAAAGGGGCAGCAGGAACCCACATTCCCCCAGAGGCAGGAGCCAGCAGGGACATCACCATCAACAAGGTTCACAGGGAGCCTGCCTCCTACTGGCCCCCACCTGGCTCTGGAAGCTTAGGACATTACAACAGAACATGCAGAAAGACTTTAAACAGAAGTCCTAAGTCCGGGCTAGCTCACGGGTCAGCAGGGATGTTTCCAGTAAGGAACAAACCACTTTCTGGGGCCAGAAAAGCCTTTTCCACCTTCGGGTCGGGATCAGCCCTGTGACAGGGAGGGCCGTGGGGGCTGGGAACTGTCCCGTCTCCGTGCAAGGCCTGGGGACAGGGCCGGCCCTCCCTGCGCTCACCCACATCCTAACTTCTCGGTAAGGTCAGCAACGGACCAACTTCCCACAGACACCCAACCCAGGGAGCGGCTATTTCTGAGAACTCAACATGCTCTCTGAGGTACACAGGACACGGGGAGCACCACGCCCCACTTGCCCTTGGTACCGCACACCCCGCCTATGTCAGCGTCCCATGGGGAGAGCATGCAGACACGGAGGGGAGGCCTCGGGCGCTGGCGCGAACCGCTTCCTGTGACCTCCCAACATGTGAGGGGGGCACTGGCCTCCCCGCCGCTCACGGAAGCTACTTCCTGCTGAGAGGCCCGGTGACCTGCCAAGGTCACACTGTGAGCCTCCCCACTTGGTGCCGGCCTTGTCCAGGTCCCAGCCCTGCTTTTCCTGTGGAAGGGCATGGCTCTAAGAGGACCTGTGGCTGGCAAGTCTGGAAGGGGTGTGCTGGTGGGGCTGGGGGCTGGGCCCGGAACACGGGCAGGCAGGGCCGGGCCAACCGGCCACGCTGAGGAGTGGCCAGGCAGGAGCACATCTGACCTTAGGACCCTCTGCCCCACGTGTGTCCCGCAAGCCCCACTCGAAACGCCAAGGTGCAATGGGTGCTGAACTCTGCCCGGGGTGGCCAGGACACTTGCCAGGGCTGGGTGCCACGGGGCCACACACCTTGGCCAGGAGAGGCCAGCTTCACACCAAAAGCCACAGGAAGCCTGGCACAGACCCCATCCTCCTGCGTCACAAGCGTCCCCGGCTCTAAGACATGCAGAAGCCGGTGAGACCAGCAACACGGACAGAGTGCGATGCGGGGCTAGGCCTGACCTCACTGGGGGGCAACAGAGCCGGCACCAAAGGAAGCTGGGTGGCCATCAGACAGCAGGCCTCTCAGACGTGGTCTGGGGCCTAAGCCCGCCCCACCGTTCTGCTCAGCGGGGCGGCGTTCAAGCAAGCACACTTGTGCTGACGTGAGCGTTGGAGCAGGGCACCTGGGGAGGGCACAGCAGTTGCCTTCCTGTGGGCGGACCTCTTGTGGAAGAGTCCCCGGCGGGGCGGGCGACCTGACTGTACCCTAGCTCGGCGACGCCCAGCAGGTGACTCCGGGTAGGCTCCGGGCCATCAGCCTGCTCTGAGGTCTGTCCCCAAGGGTTCTGGCAGGCGGTGAGCTGGGAGGTCACCTGGAGCAGGCTGCACTCAGGGCAGGGGGCCTGGAAACCCGCAGCGGGACATGGGGTTGCGCTGAGTGTGTTCCTGCCCCGCCAGGCACCGTACCTTGCTTTCTGGCTGCCGTGGTGTTCCAGGCATCTGACCGCTGAGCCTTCCTCTGGTGACCGGCATCAGGGTGGATATGGACCTGGAGGAGCAGGATGGACAATGGTACCCCGAGACCTGGGCCAGGAATCTTATGTCCTGGGGGCAGCCCCCACCTTGTAGGACTGAGACCCCCACCCAGAGCTCCCTGCCCAGGAGGCAGCGCCTACCTTGTAGGACTGAGAGACCCCAAGCCCCACGGTGGAACTGGGCGTGCCCTCAGCAGGGTCTGCACTGAACACAATCTGGAAAGCAGACGTGAGAGACAATGTCAGCAGGATGCGGTGGAGGCCACCACTCCTGCCGGGCCACCCCCACACACGGGAGACATGCTCAGGGTGCGGTCGTCCCCTGCCCCAGGTCTGAGCTGACAGCAACCCCAGCAGGGGACTGCAGGCTGAGGGGCGGGGGCTCACACCTGTCTGTCCCCTCCCATGGAAGGCCACACTGTGCCGCAGACAGAGCCATCCCTGCAGGCGCCCACCCCCAGCAGCCGATCCACATGCTCTCACAGGGCGCAGGCCTGGCGCAGTCAGGGAGCCAGGGGAAGGACCCAGTTCACCCCCAGAAGTAAAAGGATAAAAGTGATCCCTAACTCAAGTAACCAGAGCTGCACTCTCGGCCAAGGCAACGAGCTGAGAAAAAGCAACAATCGGGGATTCCTGGCCTGGGGAAGAACGCACGAGTGCTGCATGTTACAAACACCATCGTGCTCTACTTAGAATCCCGACAAAACCAGCTGACAAACTTTTAGAGCTAAGAAGAAAATTGAGTAAAATAGCACCACAGGAGACCAAAAGAAAAATCAGGAGGGGGTGTCCATCCTGCCTGATGCCCGGGCCCGCGGTGGGGCCGTACCAGCAGCTCTGAGGACCACTGGCTTCCTGTCGGGGCCAGCTCAGCAGGTGAGCAGGTCCTACGTCATCCCGCACGCCCACCCTGCCCCTCCCGCAGCCTGCCTCCTGCAGTCTCCAGTCTGGGTCAGCTGCAGACCCCCTTTCTCACACTACCTTGAGGGATCTGAACTTGGAGAGGGGCAAGGCTCTTCAGCCCAGCTGGGATCTCATGGTGCAGCCCCTCGTGTATTCACCACAGGCTGCCTGTCTGGCCAGCCCACTGACCCACTGAGGTCCCAAGGCTGGCCCAGTGCACCCACCTTCCCACAGGAGCCAGCTGTGGGATGAGCAACCCCCCAATCACACTCCCTCCAGCTGGAAGGGACACAGCAGAGTAAGAAGCAGGCCCACAGGCAGCACCAGGTAGGCAGGGACACTGAGTCATCTGCGAGGCCCGCTTAGAGCAGGTGCCAAAGGAAATTCCAAACCAATGGGGTGAGGGGTGCTTGGGCTCCAGCGAGTCTGTGAGAAACGATCCTGCCCCATAAACAGGGACTCTGGGGAGGGGAGGGGGCTGCATAGGACTGGGAATGAGGGCCAGGGGCTGCAGGGCTGCCTTGGAGCAGGGCACCTGGGGAGGGCACAGCAGTTGCGGCCCAGGGCCCCTCATCTGCAGGGACTCTGAGAACAGTGGGGAGCATGGGCGGAGAGCAGCTCAGAGGGAAGGGCCTGCCTGGCAGGAGCCGCAGACAGGGCCCAGGGTGCCGGAGGCCCGACAGTCACAAGGGGCCGTAGCTCCAGGCAGCGGCGGTCTGGGGCACCTGCTGTCCCCTCACAGAAGTGCTGGGAGGACGGCAAGGCAGAGCCCGGCACCTTCGGGACAACGCCTGTCCACACTTCACACTCGAGGACAGTGCTGGTGGGGCCTCGGCGGGTCTGTGGGACGCGCGCCGGGCTCTCCCTGGGCTGCCAGGTCACCCCTCCTGCCGCCCCCCTGCAGACCTCCCACCGGGGTGCACAGACACAGGGCAGCTGCACCACAAACAAGGCTGGACACGGACCCAGGGCCCTCCAGCCCTCGGAGCCCTCACACAGCGAGGGGCACCCTGAGTGCTGGGGCCGCCCCGGCCTGGCCACGCGGCAAGAGCACGAGTGCCCGGAGGCAGTCTCTCGCACCGCAGAGCACAGGGGGCTCCTGTGCCTTGGCTTCATCGGGGACCTCTGGCCGCTGAGAGTCCTCTTCAGAAAGGCCTAGCAAGGCGAGAGAGGGCCCTCAGCAGCCGGCCCGGCAGCCACCCAACCAAGGGAAACAGAGCCTGGCTCGTCCACTTGAACTGAGAAAATGGCTCAGCTGGACCCGAGGACGGCTGGACACAGGTCAGCACACTGGGGGCGGGAAGTGGCCATGTCCACAGACCCTGAGGTGTGTCCTGACCCCACCGGTTGCCTGGCCAGGGAAACTGAGGGTTTGCATGGGGCAGGAGGGGCTCAGCAAGCCCTGGGGGCTGCCCCCCACCCCAAAGTGGATCCCAGAGGACATGCTGACCATGCCTGCCAACTCTGAACGCCAGCCCCATGGGTCCGACCTGGGCTCATAGGCATTGCCCAAATGCATTCACCCTAAAAGTCTGAATACCTCTCTGGGTGGGCTGGCCCAGGGACCAGATATGGGGTTGGGAAGACAGAGTCTATGCCCGTTCATTCTCTGACAGGCTCATGCTTTGACTTTCCTCTGAAAAACTGATTTAAGAAATAACTTGAGAAAAGATGAGGGCAGACGGTGAGGCGGCAGCCACTAAGCCTGTCTGAAAACCAGGGGACTCTGCCAGGCCCTCATCCCACCCGGCCCTTGAGCACCTGCCCTGGACAAGACTGACCAGAGCAGCCGAACATGGCCCTCTCCCCCAAGGCCTGGCAGTGTGCCTTCAGGGCAAGAGGAAACGCGCTGCAGGGGCCGTTGATTCGAAGCACGTGGTGTGGGTGCCTTGGTCTTGCCCCAAGTCTGGAATCAGTAACAACTCCAGGATAAGAATGCACCCCTTCACTTCCATCATGAAAAAAGATGCCCAGTCTTTGCCACAAGCCCATCCCTACCTGGATGATGTCCGAGAGCTTCTGCAAGCCCGCTGTGTTGGTGAACAGCCCCGTACCTGTGGGAACAGCAGACACTGGTCATCCCACGCCCCCACCAGGGGAGGCACCAGACCCTCCACCCTCAGGGGCCTCGAGCAAGCTCGGCCTCAACCCAGTGTTGGTGTGGAGCATGCCCTTGGGGGTCAGCAGGATGAGAAAAGAGGCTCTGTGGTCAGTAAGCCTGGGACTGCCAGGCCAAACCCAGGGCCCAGGAGCACAGCAAGGCTGGTCATCTGAGATGAGAACGAGACCCCAACCAGCAGAAGTGGGCCCACAGTGCAGCCTCAGGGTAGAAACAGGATGCACAGGGGGGCTCAGGAGAGAGGCTGGTGGGACCCGCGGCTCACGGACCCACCAGGTCCCTCACCGCTCTTCCTTTAAAGGGGCTGACCAGGAAACAGTAAAGCTGGGCTGTGCTTTACAAAACACAGGCCCGTCCAACGGCACTGATGCCCCCCCCCCCGATGTCGCAGTCAGAAAGGGAGCTCTGGGGGTGACATTCCCGCCTGGGGCTGTGGCAGGCTACAGCCCTGAGTCAAGGCCCAGTGTGGGACTCACGTCCTGCCAGGTGCTGGATGATCTGGTCCAGGGAGTCGAGGATGCAGCCTTTGGTCTGAAACGTTATCTGGGCCTCAGCAAACAGCTCGAAGATGTAGCTGTGAAGGAAAGAGGCTCAGGCAGGGCGCCAGGCTGTGCTCAGGGAGCTGCTGACAGCCAGGGCCTTTGACGTTCCCTTCCCTCAGACACTCTGGAGGACAAACCCAGAGGTGAGAGAGGCCTGTGCCCTCAGGAGCCCTGAGCGCCGGGAAAAGGCAAGGCCCCCAAGGGCAGCTCTGGGAGGCAGGGGAGTCCTGCCGTCTTGGGCCTCGGAGGCGTGGGCAGGGCTGGTCAAGGAGCCTGGCTCATCTGGGAAGCAAGTGGGAGCCCTGTGAGGCTCTGAGCACAGCGCAGCAGACGGGCTCAGGAAGAAGAAAAGCAGCAGTGCTCCAGCACATTCTAGAACATTCCACACCTCCAGAACCTGAGCCTGGATCCCAGCACAGCCACTGGCTGTGCCCTGAGGAAAGCTACAACCAGCCCCAGGCCATGACCCCTTGTCTGCCTCTGGGAAATAAACCCAGCTGCCCTGTGCCCTGGTCAGAGCCGTCCGGGCCTGCAGAGGCAGGAAGGGGCGGCTGGTGGGAAGATGCATGAAGAAGCAAGCGTCTCACTCTGAAGGGCCGGGCCTGCATACACAGTAGTCCCAAGACTCCCAAGACGACCTAGTGCACAGACGGCAGCCCCTCCTGGGCCTCCAAAACCCAAAGAGACACAGGCGTGGGGGCAGGGCAGATGGACCAGTGGAAGGAGAGCCTGGCACACCCACTGTCCTTTACCTCCCTGGCTTGGTGACACCGCTGTGGTCCCCAGGCAGCTCAACAGCATCGATGGCCCCCTCCAGGCGAAGCAGGATCACTGCGGGGCAAGGGATGGTCAGGTGTTGCCCGCCCAGCCACGAGCAGTGGGGGAGGGCCGCACTTACTCTTGAGCTTTGCGATGTCTTCCAGCTCCATGTGCAGCCCTGGGGGAGCAGCAAATGCATGGTCACGGTCTATTTCTACCCACTGCGTCCCTAAGAGCCAGGACTCGGGCTGGATTCCTGCCTGTCCCCCAAGTAAACGTGACCACAGACAAGTAAACAAGGCTCTGAGATCCCTACAACCCGAACGTGGGCCGGCAGCAGCAGTTCGAGCTCAGGGACACTGCTCATGCACGTGCATGCACTCCCTGGCCCTGCTCACCGGAGACCCAGGACAATGACTGAGCCAGCAAGAGAGGGTCCCCGTGCCCGCATGGTGGGCCTTGAGGGACCATCTCCCAAGAGAAGAAACCAGGGTTCCTTGGAGACATGGCTGATGCCAGGTGTGGGGCAGGAAGTGCGTGAGTGAGTGAGGAATATCCTGACTCCCCATCAGCGCCTGGCAGGGCCACCGGAACAGCTGAAGAGGGGATCCTTGAGTTCAATGACAATGAGGCTTACAACGGACTGAGATCATCGTCTGCGTTTATACATTAGTACTACTGATGACGTTAAAAACTACTCTTCTTCTGAGGGGGACAAGGGATCGATCACAAGTCAGGAATAAATTCTAATTCCCAAATTGGAAAATTGGGAAAAAGTCAAGCATCTATCCTGCTTTTCCTTTTTTTTTTTTTTTTTTTTAAGATTTTATTTATTTATTTGAGACAGAGAGAATGAGAGAGAGCATGAGAGGGAGGAGGGTCAGAGGGAGAAGCAGACTCCCTGCCAAGCAGGGAGCCCGATGCGGGACTCGATCCCGGGACTCCAAGATCATGACCCGAGCCGAAGGCAGTCGCTTAACCAACTGAGCCACCCAGGCGCCCTATCCTGCTTTTCCTAAGAATGGTATCACCAAGCAACCGCTGAGGCGCAGAGCCTCTTTATAAAACTTTCCTCCCAGTAAACTGAACAACACAGTTGGCACATCACCCTCTCTCCATCCCCCCAGCACAGAGCACGATGACATTCCCGTGGACACAGTGAGAACCAGCCCCAGCATGCCTCCCGATGGGAAGACACACCACGGCTCGAGCCTGGCACATGAGGAGAGGCCTCAGGAGAAGCCACGCCGTCTGCGGTCTTCTGCTATGGTGGCCCACACCCTCGCCAACACTGGTCCCTGCCCCTCGGCTGGCACCCACTGTCCCACTGGGTTTTCAGGGCTGCCCCCCCGGCGGCTCGCACTCACGCCTCCATGTGCATGCTGACCACTGGGACGTCTATTCTAAAGAAGCGTCTCTTCCTATCTTTTGCCCATTTTTAATTGGGTTGTCTTTTCCCAGAGTGGTAAGAGTTTCTTTTTTCTTTTCCTTTTTTTTTTTTAAAGATTTTATTTATTTGAGAGAGAGAATGAAAAACAGAGAGCATGAGAGGGAGAAGGGTCAGAGGGAGAAGCAGCCTCCCCACTGAGCAGGGAGCCCGATGCGGGACTCGAGCCCGGGACTCCAGGATCATGACCTGAGCCGAAGGCAGTCGCTTAACTGACTGAGCCACCCAGGCGCCCGGTAAGAGTTTCTTATGTGTTTTGGATACATCCCGTATCAGACACATGATCCACGAGGAATCCCTGCCGTCCTCTGGGCCGTCCCTCTGCCTCCTGACCGCGCCCGCCCTCGGAAGCCCACGGCTTTTTGACAAGGGCTGGTTTCTTCCTTTTCTCCTCTGTGCTTGTTAGCTGGCGGCATTTCTTCTTTTCTCTGTTTTTATTTCTTCATTTAAGTCATCTCCACCCCCACCACGGGGCTCAAACTCACGGCCCAAGAACACGACCAGCCGGCCAGACGCCCCCGTCAGCGTCACCTGTGAGGCCACCGCCCCGTGCACAGCCAGGGAGAGCGACGCCGCGGTGAGCGAGCCCCTTCCCAACAGGACCAGGTGGGGAGGGGGGCAAACAGGATGCCGTGAAAAACCCCGACGCAGATGGCTCGCCCGGGGCCCAGGCAACACCGACAGTCCGGCCACGGGGTCGGCAGCTGGACACGTGGCAGGGTCTGAGGAGAAAGTGCTGCACGTGTGCTCTTGCTCCCAAATCCCAGAGCCCCAGGGAACCCGTGGGAAAGGCAGACACCTCCCAATTAAGGCACATCCCACAAAAGGCCTTACTGGGCCTCCTCCAAACTGTGAAGGTTACCAAGAACAGGGGAAGTGTGAGAAACTCAGACCAGAGCAGGCTGAGGAGTGGTGGCTACTGCCCTGGGGTTTCCTGGGACAGAACAAGGACATCACATGAAAACAAAGGGTATCAGCCACTTTACACCCATTAGGACGGCCATTTCCAAAACAAAATACACGTTCTTTAAACTGAAAAAAATGTTTCATTCCACTTCTGAGAGAAAAGCAAATGAAAACCACACTGAGAGGCGTTTCCATCTATGAGACTGGCACACGATAAAAAGCCTAAGGTCACACTCTGTTGGCAAGGCTGTGCCCCCGCCACGTGGGGCCCGAGGTTCAAGAGCACAGCAGCATGCTTCCCTGCCGACCAGCAGCCCCGATTCCTGGAACTGACCCTGAGGTGCGTCCGCCCCAGGTCATTCATAGAGCTCTGCTTGTAATTATAGAATGCTGGAGACGACCCAAATGCTGTGCAAACGGACACAGGACGTCCACCGGAGGGAGGCAGGCAGCCGAGGGGAAGGCAGGCTTCTGTGCAGGGAGGCCTTTGCAGGGCGCACGAGGAATGAACCCAGCGGGGCAAACGCGCATCTACGAGGAACACGACCCCGTGTGCAGCCAAGAAGAATGAACAAAATATGCCTGTGTCTGCTCCTTCTGGGAGGGAATAAAGCCAAGCAAAAATAAACCAGAAACTAGCAAGATGCTTCTCTTGAGTACCTTGACGTCCAGAACCACAGTCACGTTTCAAACACCCGAGAACAACCCAAGTAATAAAATCAACGAGAAGAAACACGGAAGAAGAAATGACCCTAAAATGACAACGAAGCCACAGTGGAGGGCGGGGGAGGGGAGGAGGGACGACCAAGGACTCCCCAGCACAGTCTCCTGACCAGCGTTCAGACGAACGACAGGAAGGGAACCAGCACTCAGCTCTGGGAGGCAGGCTTCCTTCAGCACGGGTGGGTGAGCTGCCCTCAAACAGCTGCCTGAGTCTTCCAGGGCCAAACCAGGACGGGAGACCCTGAGGAAAGTGGGAGCCGGTATCCTCACCAGCACAGAAGGACGGAAACCCTGATGAGGTTGGGCAGTGAGCGAGAGCGAGACGCGTGGTGCTGGACAGAGCGGGAGTGCACGCAGGAGCCGCGACCCTGCACAAGCAGGTAGTTCTCTCCCGTGCTGTGCAGATGAGCAAGCCCGCTCCCGATTGGTTCAGAAATGAGAGGCATCGAGAGGTAAGACTCATCGCTTTGCAAACATTATAGCAATCACTAACTCAGGGACGAATCATTCACGGATGCCACAGACTGCTTAGGAATTAACAAACGGAAGAACAGTAACTTCACAGCAGAAAAATCTGGCAGTCATCACGTAACGGAGTGATCAAAGTTGGTATCCCCAACAATGCAGGGCCACTCCACACTGAGCAGGGAGCCCGATGTGGGGCTCAATCCCGGCACCCTGGGATCATGGCCTGACACGAAGGCAGCTGTTTAACCGACTGAGCCACCCAGGCACCCTTGGTTTTCATTTTTATACAATAAAGTCTATATCGGAGGGCGCCTGGGTTGGCTGGGCGACTGCCTTTGGCTCAGGTCATGATCCTGGAGTCCCAGGATCGAGTCCCGCATCGGGCTCCCTGCTCGGCAGGGAGTCTGCTTCTCCCTCTGACCCTCCCCCACGTCATGCTCTCTCTCTCTCATTCTCTCTCTCTCAAATAAATAAATAAAAATCTTTAAAAAAATAAAAAAACAAACAAAAAAATAAAGTCTATATCGTTTCGGAAAGTATGAAAAGGTCTTTAGAAAATTCTGAATAGTTGGGTGGTACCTCCTTCCTGGTCTGTGAGGCCCCAAGAAAACTCTTCAAGAAGTTCATATTGTCCCCATATGATGACCTGAAAGAGGGGCCCTGGGAAGACACAGGCCTCCAGGACCCCCGAGAACACCTTGCAACCTGTCTCTCCTTTCCCACCCGTAAGCTCACCTGAGTTGGCAGAGTCTGCACTGAACTCCACGTGGAGCCCGTCCTGCTGTGCTGCCTTGGTCTGCTCCTCCAGAACCTGGTCTATGACATCCAGTCCAGAAGCCAAGTCATGCGGAGTCAGGTCAAAGGACGCCGTCTCCTCGCACATCTTCTCCTGGGAGCCCAAGCACACCAGGCTACAGCCAAACGGGGGCAAGGACTCGGGGATCCAGGAAGCCAAGGTGGGGGTAGGGATGCAGGGTACAGGAAGCCCCATCCCATGGTCTCTAAGGCCAGGTCACAAACTGGTCCAGAGACAGCCAAACCACCACACCAATGTCCGAAATTTCATAACTGGAAAATTTCCCATTAGAATATAGATTTCTGGAGGCGCCTGGCTAGCTCAGTCGGAAAAGCATGCGACTCTTGATCTCAGGGTCGTCAGTCCGAGCCCCAAGTTGGGTATAAGATTACTAAAAAAAATAAACTTTTAATAGATTCCTGGCTTTTCTCAAAAGTCCGATCTGGCCCACTGGCCCTATCATCCCCCATGGCAACAAGTGCCTGGGACCCAGTGGGAGCTGGAGGGTGGCTGCTGCTGACCCAGGACACTAGGCTCCAGAGCACCCAAGGGGCCTTCCTGCCCTGCCCTGCTCAAGGCCAGCCATTCCTGGAAACACAGCGCCCTGAGCAGAGGCCATAGCAATGGTGAGGCAGGGCCGAGGTGACAGGGAGGGGCCGGCTGTGGTCACTAGGGGGCAAGCATCAGGTCAGGCGGCCACCAAGGGACAAAGAGAACGAGACCGAGGGGGGCTGTGAGGGTTTTGGGTGGAAACGGGGAACAGGGCCAGCCAGTGTAGCTTACCCAGGGCTTGGACAGAAAGGTCTGCACTGCTCTCTGCAGGGGCGCAGGGGAGGGGAGGCATGGCGGAAAGGCCACCTGGACACTCACCACATTGTGAGCTTCGTCGAAAATCACAACTGTCCCCTTCAGGTCAATGCCGTGTGCCCGGCGACTCTGCAGCAAGAGGGGAAGGATGCAGGGCTGGAGCCAAGAGGCAGGCAGGGGAAGCCCCCCCAGTGCCATGGCCACCTGGCTCTACGCACCGACCACCGAGCTGGACGTCAGATGCCCCTTCCGGCGACGCTCACACAGCCCCAGGGAGCAGGTGTGTGACCCCACACCATGCATACCACACAGCCATGGGATGCAGGAGGCCCAAAGCAGGGCTCGGCCTAGGGTTGACTTGGGGAGGGCGATTTCTAGTATTTCTTTGCTTCGACTGCATTTGAGGTTCAGTTTTCATAAAATAAAGTGCCCATTTTAACGTGCAGTTGGGTCTTGACAGATGTGAGCTCTGTGTCGCCAGCTCCCAGAAAAGGAGACAAGACCTGCTCCCCTCCCCCCACCCGTGACCTCTGACCTGCTCCTAGTGAGGTCTAGGCTGTCCTGGAAACTGAGCTGGGCAGCCCAGCTCGTCTGTCCCGCCGGCGGGCAGCGCGTTCCGAGACCCACAGGCGTCACTGGCGCGCGGCTGCAGCTCACCCTCTTCAGGGCTTGTGGCGCCATTTCAGGGACAGCCACCCGCCCGCAGCCGGCAAGGCTCCGGACCCAGCTCCTTCACTCGGGTGGGCTTCCAGAGAGGCGCACCGCCCCACACGTCACCAGCAGAGGCTGAGCTGCACCCTCAACGGACGCTGGTCCCCGGAATCCTTTACTTCTGGACATGCTGGTGGGAACGCAGCGTCACCCCCTGTGGTTTTAACCTGCGTTTTCTCCAGACTAGTGGTGCTGCACGTCCTCCACGCACGGGCTGACCTGGCCGCCCCAGCTACCTTGCTCTGGGACGGCTGGTCGAGTTACGAAGACGCCGCACGGACTCAGGCACAGGCCTTTGAAAGACAAATGTACCACGAAAACTCTCTCCCTTTGTGACTTGTGGTCATTTTCTTCATTTTCCACTCTTTTTAAGAGTCAAATCACGTGAAATCATGGTGAAATCACGGTGAACTCCGACATACTGGTTTTTCTCTGTGGCTGGTGCGTGGTGTGTCTGAGCTAAGAAAGCTCGGCCTGCCCTCCCTGCTCTGTCCTGGGGGAGCTTTATGTCTCCAGCTTTTACATTCCGGGTTATGCCATGTGAAGTAACAGCTGAGATTCGTTCTCTTCCAAATAGATATCCAACGATTCCAGCATCAGTTTTTAGGGAAAAAAGCCCCAAACCTTTCCTTTTCCCGCTGAAATACCTAGGCACGTTTGTTGAAAACCAACTGCCACACGTGTGGGTGGGTCTTGGCCGCACTCTCGTGCGACCCCGGCCAGCAGCTCGGTCTGCCCTCTGCAGCCAGTCCTGGAGCCCTCCCACTCTGTCCTCCATCAAAACTGCCTCGCCCCCTTCCATCTTTTGCATCTCCAGGTCAGTTTTAGAATCGCCTTATCAGGGACAACATACCTGTTCTGGGGTGGGGCCCAGGCCCGGGCAGCCGGGTTGAGAGATCACGTACAACCACTCCACAAACCCCCACTCTCTGTGCCAGCTCAGAGCCACCCTTGCCTGCTCCGGCCACTCGCTCACTCCGTGGCCCCATGGCCCTGAGGCCCCGTGGCCCTGAAGGCTGTCGCTCCTCAGAGACTTCCCTGCCCCACGGCACCGACTCCCCCCTCCGCGCTCCTTTCCCCTCGCCGCTGAACTCTACCGACGCATGCGCTTGCTCCTAACTGCCCAGCCCACGGTAGTGCTGAATGGATGAACGACCTGGACGGCGGGTCGTCCACTGTTACCGTGACATGAAGGACAAGTCGCTGCACATGTGGGGTGTGCAAAGACGGGTGTACACATGCATCCCAAGACACGACTGTGAGGGAGGGCAGGCGCACACTCTTGGGGCTGCCTCACAATGCCCAGCTGGGAAGAGAGGAGCTGAGCCGCCAGACAAGGCCAGGGGCTGGCCCTGGACACAGCCATGGGGTCTCCTCAGTCCACGAGCCCACCCGCTCCCAGAGAGCTCAGAACGACAAGACCCACGGCCCCACGCTGGCCACAACTGTGCCCAGACCAGTGAGGGAGGCCGAGTCCTCACACCATGCGTGCTGCTCTGAGGGTCTAATTCAGGAACTGAACGACAAAGGCTCTGACTGCCCCTTACAAACCCAGGGACGCCCCTTGATACCAGCAATCATCAGCTCCGTGGACTGAGACCTCACCTTGGCGTCCAACAAGTAGTTGTAAGGCATGAAGATGATGTCAGCCTGCTGCTTCAGGTTCCGAGAAAGGTAGTAGGGGCACAGTCTGTGGAGAGGAGGCACTCGTCAGAGCCAGGAGGGAGGCCCAGGCCCCCGGCGGGGCTCCGCTGGCTGAGGCCCTGGGGCCAGGCGGGACGCCAGGCCCTCTGACGGGCAAGCAAGAGGAAGCAGCCTCGTGCTGCATGGGGGCTCAGATGGGAGCCGGGGCCTGGGGACCAGGGGAGGGCTCACTGCATTACGGTTCACGCCCCCACTTTTCAACCATGGGAGATCACCTATTTAAAAATCTACATAAACAAAAAACCCCAGTCCTATTCCTGGGTAGAGGAATGTGGCAATCAGAAAGAAAATGCTCAGTCCTGTCTTGGCCCAACTCGAAGCCCTGAAGCCGTGAGAGGTCGACACAAAGGTCAGAAAAGCGTGTTCTGTGGAAACCAGCCGAGTGGAGGTCAGCACTATGCCCGCTGGCTGCTGGAAGCCAAAGCAAGTCCGTCAGGAGGCCAGGGCTGCCTGTCAGCAGAGTGGTCACCTTGGGAGGCAGGGGAGGCTTCCCTGCTTCCCCCGTATTCAAAACCACTTCTGTTTTCACACCAAACAGCCGTTAGTTTTACGATTAGTCAAGGTAGCAAAGCAAAGGAAGTGGGGTGCCTGGCTTCATCGTGGCAGAAGCTGTCCTAGAAGGACACGGCCGGCTCCTGCCTGGCCGCAGGGTCTTACCCGTGCTTATTCCCACTTCTGACCAGGTCCTCGATGTCCAGGATCGGGGTAGCCAGCTCCTGCTGCAGGCTCTTCTCTGGGGATAATGAGGCCCAATGAGTCCCCGCAGACCCCTAGAGGGATGCCCAGGCAGTGACTCTCCCTCCGGGCAGGACTAGGACACCCAACCACCTGGGGACTCACCAGACAGAATTCCTGCCCTTTGAGTCTGAGTGACCTTGGAAGGACCCCAAACCTGAACTAATCCTCAGGGAGCCCTGCTCTATACCTCAGGAGGTGTCTGCTGGCCTGAGACTGAGCATTAACAGGACTGGAGGGGGGTGCGCAGCCCCTCAGCACGTCTCTACCATCCCAGGTGTCCTCAAGGCCGTGCCCTGGAAGCATCTGTCCTACAATTAGGCTTCAGTCTGGCAGCAAGTGGCTTTTTCTCTTCACTTCCCCCCAGATGTCAACGGCACAGGAGCACAGATCTGAGGCAGGGCACATGGGAGAGGTGGGGGGCCCCGAGGCAGAACCCACCTGATGCCTGACAGACCCAGGGCCCCTGCCTCATGATGGCAGCCCCCGAGAAGCACCACTCCCTGCTAGCTGCCCAGGTGGCCCAGGGCAGAAAGGTGCTCAAGAAGGGGCACAGGCCCTCCTAGGGCCCCGGGAACCCCCTGAGGAGCTGCTTTAAACCCAGCCACTCAGGAGCCCATGCCCAGGCTGGCAGGACCAGGGCTCTCCTCGAACACACACCCTAGGGCCCCAGGGCAGCCTCCTGTGGAAACAGGCTCTTGGCTCCGGCCCCACGGTGGCAGGTACCAGGCCCAGGCCTTCACTGCAGAGCCCAGAACACACCTTGGCCGTGACTGAACCCAGAATGCCCCCAGGGACCGCAGGGAGAAGAGGAACTGTGAGCTCAGCAGTAACATAGCAGCCGATCCACGGTGGGCAGGGAGCCTGGAGCTCAGCAACCTTCCTGGAGGGGCGGGGGCAACAGGAAGGGGCAGCGGAGGCTGGAGGCGGGTGGGGACCCCAGTGTGGAGATGCTGCAAGTACTGCGCACATAGAGGCCAGGCAGCACTCTGGCTCTGCACCTCCCTCCTTCCTCCCACACATGCCTCTCCTCCTCCTGGACCCCTTCCGGGGCCCCTGCTCACTCTCCCCGAGGGCTGGGCAGCTGCTGCCGAGGCCCCACACATCCATGGCACGGGGGCAGAGGAGGCTAAGACACAGCAAAGATGTGCAGCGCACCTCTGACAGGACATGCGGCGAGAGCCAGAGCAAAGCAGGGAGGCTGGGGACGGGGAAGACCGATGCGGCCTGGAGCCAGCAGGACAGCCGCAGCAGCACCCTCACCTTGCCACACGGGGCCTGGGGCAGTTGGGGGGGGTCTGCAGCACCGGGGGCCAGCACACACCTGCCCCAGCATCACCTCCACTGTGGGCTGAGAGTGCCCCTCAGCTCCCACTCCTCCTCTGGAATCCCGGCTCCTCCCTGGCCCATCACCCACCAGGTAAGGTAAGAGATGCTGCAGGTGAGGGCGGTGCAGGTGAGGGGACGGTGCAGGTGAGGGACAGTGCAAGTGAACAGCAGTGCAGGTAAGGGCTGGAAAGCAGAGAGCTGAAACACAAACAGCTGTGGAAAGGTGGCTGGAGCAGTTCCTACCAGGTGTTGCTCAAAGGCTCTGGTATGGGGTGAGCAGGACACCTGCAACCCACCCCTCTGCCAGGAATGTGGACAGAGGCGGCCACAATGGGGTAAAAAAGAGAGGACTGCATTGAGCATCACGGGCGTGACCCCAAGGCCCATACGAAAGCAGGACTGAGGTGGGATGGCTGTGAGCAGGTAGACAAAGCAAAGGGGGGAAAACGCCTCAGAGCCACCCCGAGACCCACGGGCCTAACACAGAGCAAGCAGAGCAAGTCAGTCAGCAGTCTCCGGACCAGAGCAAGAGCCAACACCAGGCCACGGGGCTGGCAGCTGCCCTCGTGCAGGGCCACTGCAGGCCAGGCTGGTGCCCAATGCTTCCCATGTACCCTTTACTGCTGTTCTGAGGGTTCTTGGTGCCACCAGACCAAACCACACAGCCAACAAGGTGGTGAGGAGTGAGCTCCAGGGACAGGGCACAGGGAGGCCTATGACTGGGAGGTGAGGGAGCCCCAGCCCAAGCCTCTGAGAGCAAGCACTGCCCTGGCATGCCGGGCACCCCAAACCGCAGCACTAGTGTCCTGTGAGTGCCCCAGGGCCTCTGTCACTCCTGTGCCAGGATCTGCGTCCCAACCCTGAGGCAAGAAAGAGGGAACCCCGACCCCACTGAAGCGCAACTCCCCCAAGCCACAGAGCCGTAGCTGCGATAGGAAACTAGAGACCACAGCCCAGAGAAGCGCCCCTGCCATCGCTTCTGGCTCCAGGAGTCCTTGACAGATGTGAGGGGCAGCCGCACGGTGGAAAAGCAAAGACCCGACAGATCTGGAGGCAAGGGCACCAGGGCCAGCCCTCCACTCTGGGCCTAAGGAAAGTAAGCAGCAAGAATCAAGGGCCATGGGCACCTATGGTCACACACATCAAGCCACACTAGGGCCAGCTGTTGTCATGACCCTGGGCTGGTCACTTCAGCCACCTCTGGGAGAGGTTGTCCTCCCCACAGCACCAAAGGCTGGCGCACTCCCCAGACTCAGGGAGAGCCACACCCACGCTGTGCCCTATCGCAGCCCAAGGACACACAGCAAAATCAGTAAAAGGAAAAGCCTGCGGAGGAGTCTGGGAGACCAGGCCCGGCTTCCAGAACCCCTCCCCAGGCTAATTGCCCCAGAACGAGCTGAGGCCACATGAGAAATGGTGTCTCCCGGGAAGCTCGCCAGAGGCCCAGCGCCCAGGGCTTCTGCTGGGGGCCAGTCACGTAAGCACCCCTGGCTGGCCAGCGCCCGAATTCCAGACTCCCGGGGGAAGGAGCTGCTCGGCGTCAACCACGTTGTTTCCACAAACAGTTTAGGCCCAGGGAGCCCCTCCTCTCAGGGGACGGTGAATCCCTGAAATCCAAGCTCCCAGACAGTGGCAAGGCCAGCCTGGGTCCTTCTGAGAGAGCAGCCTTTCCTGCCTGGCATATGAGCCTTTCTGCACACAATCCAGTACAGGTCCACAGTCAGGAGACGGTGCCCAACACCACCTCACCTCACCACCTCACCTAGCTAAACCGATGGGGCCACTCTGGAGCCCCAAAGGGGAGAGCCAGCAGGCTACGAGGCCTAAGAGGCAGCACATGCTCCAAGCCCACCTGGCTGTATGCTGACCAACTGGCAGGAGTGGCTTCTACGGATCCTCTCTTACCTTCTACATTGTTGTAGAAATGACAGGAACGACTTGCTACCTTCTTTCGGCACAAATGAATCTGGGAGAAAAAGAAGCAGCCCCAGCTCGCACAATGGTCATGAAAGGGCAGAGCGCTGAGCCGGCCAGTGGACACGCTGCAGATGGTGCTGCCCAGCATGGGGAGACTGAGTCCTGTTCCAGCCCTGCCCCCACCAGCTCTTCACTGGGCTGTCCCCTGGGGGTAGAGGCAAGAGCTCTGACAGAACCACAGAAGATGGGGCACGTGCCCCAGAAACCCACCTGCATATGGTTACTCTCCTGCTTCTTCACCTCGGGGTGAATACACAGCTGTTCCCGGGAGCCCAGCACACATACCCTAGGCCTGGCAGAAGAGAGAACCATGGGGTCCAAGAACCAGAGAGCAATAGCCCCAGTGCCATCCAGCAGCATAAGCATGGGCTGTGTGGAGCCCACGAGGAGCACCGGGAGACTTGGCTCACATGTGCACCCAGGTAGCCAGAGGGAGTGGCCATGGCCAGAATGGGCCCTGGGCTTGGGAGGCGCTTTCTCTACTGCATGGCCCAGCGTGAATAAGGAGAGGAGGCAGGGGAAACAGGCAGATGGGAGGAGACCCCGCTAACTCCACGCCCCCTACATCGCCTTCCAGGAGCTCAGGGTGCTAAGCCGAGGTTGGCACATCAACTGGGAGCTGCTTTCTGAGAAGCAATGGGCAGCAGAAACAGCCTGGCCTCACCGCAGTCCTGCACACTGGAGCAGACAGTGTGGGTCTCTGGGATCCAGAGCGGGGTCCGGGCAGAACACTACCATCAACCACCTTGCCAAGGCCAAACCCCCTTAACTCAGAGGCAGGGCTGAGCAGCGCCTGACCTACCGATAGGAGGTGTTCCGAAGCTCGCTGATGACCTGAGTGAGCTGTGAGTGGGTCCTGGAGGCATAAATGATCTTCGGGATGTCCGTGTAGCAAGCTGCCCAGGCACAAGGAAGCAGAACAGGTCATAGCTCCAGGAGATGATGTTCTGGTGTGCTGAGCCTCACCAGCCCACTCTATCCCTTCGCTACCTCTCTGTGGAGACCCCAGAGGAGCGGAAAGGAGCCTCACCGGTGGTGTCTCCATCTGAAGCGGCAAGTCCCCAGGATGACAAGGTGCGATCGGGGAAAAGCTCCCCTTGGGCCCTCTCGGCAATCTTGCGGGCAGAGATGGTGTCGCGGAGGTGCTCCCGCCAGGCCAGCGTGGTGCAGAGGAGGCACAAGGTCTTTCCCGTGCCAGTGGGGCTCTCCAGGAGGCCGTTTACTTTCTGAGTGGGGTCAGGAACAAGGTCATGGGGAAGCAGGAGAAGGGTACTGCAGAGCACACAGCCCACCGGCCAGGGGACAGTTCTGCTCAGGCAGAGCCCACCCACAGGCGGCAAAGGCCTGAGGAACAGTGGGTAATCTGCCAGTGCTTCCACTCTCAAACCAGAAGCTATGTGTTAATTCAGCCCTCATTAGCAAACAATTCGCAGAGCATCACTCAGAACTCAACAGTACTTTTCAGCCTAATGTAAACAGTAAGACGTCTAATTAGACACCAACTCGCCAAACAGAACTTTGTTCCGTAACTTTGGATGCAGATGTTTTATACTGAGGAGAACCTGGTGAGCTACATACATCTCAGATGGGAGCCTGAGCAGCAAACCTGGGGAGACACATAAGCAAATCGGCAAAACTGTGCTCCCAGTTCCCAGGAATGGGCGCCAGGCTCCTCCCTGTAGGAGTCTAGTCTGCGCCCACAACAGGAGCCAGGACCCCAGCTGCAGAATCGGCGCTCAGGGGCTGCGAGCTTGAGCAGGGTACAAAAGAACATGCTAAGAAAGTCAGCAGAAAGCTACCTGCCCCCTTCTGCCTTCCTGCACACCCCTGAGATTTAAAGACCTTCCAAAATGATGAGGCACTGACTATCCCTCCATGTGGAAATACTTCTTCCAGATCCTCAAATGGCTGACTGCTCCCCCACACCGGGCCTCAGCTCAAGCGCCACCTCCTCAGGGAGGCCCTCAAGGTGCTCCCAAGCCTATGACCTAACGACTCTCCTTCGGAGCAGGAACTGTCTTTTTCTACTTGTCTACTGTCTCTCCTAGAACACCGGCCCCATTCAGGACGGAGTCCTGTGTCCAAGAGGAGGCCTGCTACCCAGCAGGGCGCAGCAGGCGTGAACGGAAGGTCCAAGTCCGTTACATCAGGCCTTGGTGGAAGCTCTGCCCACGCTGACCCGCTCCCAGGACAGCCGCCGTACCTTCTGCAGACACTCCAGGACCTTGCTCATGTACTCCTCCTGGCATGGGTATGGCTGGAAAGGGAAATCCACTGTCACACCATCCAGAGCTATCTTGGGCATGCTGGCCTCTTCTCGGGCGGGCACAGAGGTTGGCTGAGACGCAGGCTGTGTGAGTGCGTGAGACAAAACGCCCTCCGGACATCTCGGGATCTCAGCCGCTGCAGGGGAGTGCTGCCAGCCGGCGGCGCGGGCACATGCCAGCGTCCTCCACGGGGAGCCCTGCAGCACGGAGACCGGGGCAACAAGACCGTCTGCAGCCGGCCCCTCGGGCACACCCCTTCACCCGTCCGGCAGCCCGGCTCGCGCCCCAGGCCCGAAGGCAAGTCTGCGGGACCTACGAGAGGAGCCGAGCAGGAAGAACGCACGCGTGCGCCCCGCCTCGCTCTCTGGCCCCCAGCGGCTCCACCGGGCTCGGGAGAGGCGGCTGCGCTCACACAAGTAGCAGGAGCCCGAACCGCGCACAGCAGCAGTTCGCTGACCTGCACGGCAGCCTGGGAGGCCAGGCCCCCGGCCGGGTCACGAGGACAACGCGTCGCCGGGAGACCCCCGCCCCGCCGGGACCCCCCCCCCGCCCCGCCGGGCGCGGGGCCCCGCCCACGCGCACAGGAAAACCACCGGCCCCAGAATGCAGCGCGGCAGAGAGACCGGCGCGCGGGCCCGGGGCGGCGCGGGGCCTGCCGGGAGCTGCAGTGTCGGGAGGGCCAGGTCCCGAATCTCTGCGACTCACGACTCGCTTTTCTCCGCGGACAGCCTTCCGTCGCCGGGGGTCCCCAAGAATCTGCCCCGGTTTAGCCAAGGCACCGCCACCGCGTCTGCGCCGCCCTCAGCCGGTTCGGACTTCGCGGGCGTCACTGACCGCGCTGCACTTCCGCTCCCAATTCCGGTCCGCCGCGCGTGGTTCCCGGCGGAAACCGTTCCGCAGCATAGGGGTCCGCGCACTCGGTTCCGGGCCCCACCCTGCCCCTTCGGTCGACCCTGAGCCTGGAGAACGGCACCTCCACCGGCCGCGGGCAGAAACCTGGGGTTCGAGCCGTCTCCTCCCTCGATGCCGTGCCCGCCAGAGCCTCCATCCCACCACCCGTCCCTGGGCCAAGTCACCTGGATGGCCCGGACAATTGCACACACCTTCGGATTGGTTTCCCGTGATTCCGAATGGCTGCCCAGGCGCCTTGCTCCCCAGTGTCCCGGCACCTAGCACCAGCTGGCAGTCAAAAGTGGGGTCTGGGGCCTGCACAACTCTTTAGGGGGTAGATACTTGTCTAGCCGACTCCAGCATGTTCCAGAAGGCCGACAGAGACGGCCCACAGCCGGCTGGCAACGCCGACCCCAGGGCTTCTCATGGGCTCTATTTAATGCCCAGACGTGTGATCGAGCATGCTTCGGAAAGCCCGTGGCTTGCTGGCACCCCCCCCCCCATCCACCTGGTCCACCTGGTGAGGGGGCCTAGAGGGTTTGTCTTAGACTCTCAGTAGGGAGCTTGGAGAAGAGCTCACCCCTTCAGGACCACGCATGCAGGCATGGACGGCCTCTGAGATAAGTTCTTTGATTATCCACACTTTACAAAGTACAGGGTTGGTGATTAGTAGATTGCCTAAAGCATGCAGCTTCCAGCCAGGAGTCCTCTTCACTTCCACAGCACCCATCTTCTAAGAGCAGAGGTGTTTGTGCTCCCAGGAGGCCAAGGAAGGTAAGGCAGGACCCAGAGACTCAGGGCCACCTGGGTCGGAACTGGAGCTGAGGACCCTGAGACCCTGAGCTGATGCATGAGCTGCCTGGTCACACATCACACATGGGACTGCCCAGCTTTCAATAAATTGTAACGTATAAGTGCTTCAATAAATTGTAATTATAAATGCCATGTACTGAACCTAATTGTGAAAGATGAGAGGAAATGGACACCAAGGCTGGCCATAACCAGCCCCACTCAGCAGGCACAGGATTTTGATCAAGTCAACGAATTTGAATTGAGAGTCTGCTCTTACAGGTTTGTGGGCGTGGATCAGACACTATGTGGACCACAGAACAGATGTTAACCAGTCCCACACTCCCCATGTATGCACCTCGAGGTATATACGCATCTGCTGGGCCTGCTTCAGGCAGACTCTGACCCTTAGGTCTGTCCCTGTCTGTCCCCTTTCTGAGCCTCCCTCCCCTCTCTGCAGGCTCCTGAGGTTTCCCACAGTTTTATTCCCGACTCTAAGACTTAGTTGCTTGTGGAGCAAGTGCTTCTCTTGACCTCCGTAGCTCCGTCCCTAAAATGGGAATGACACTTCATCCATTTGACTTGCCAGGCCCAAAGTGAGACAAGATGGTCACTGCAGGAAAGGGCCCACCATTTCTGCAAGGCTCTCCCTTTGGGGATATCAACCTGAACCCTAAGCCCAGAGAGGAGGGGAGGCATGACCCCCCCCCACACTCACCAACTGTACCTCTCTTCTCCATCTGGAGACTGGCATTATTGCTGTATCTTACCCTTGAGAAACAGAGCCACAGAGAAGTCAGAAACTCGCTCCCAGTCACACAGCAAGTGGGTGTCAGAGCTGCGGTTGGAACTCCTCTCTATCTCACTTCAAAGCCTTTGTCTCTAGGCCTCACCACCCCCATTTACTCTCTTTTCTGCCCCAGAATTGACTCATCCTCTGGGATGCTCCTTGGAGGCCTTCCAGACCAATCCCTACCCCCACCGTTATGACACACTTTCCCCTCAGCACGGACCTGGGCACACAGAAGTCACTCCCTGCCTTCGGTGGCTTTAGTGAAGAGCTCTCCAGCCCACCCTGATGTTGGGGCCCCTCCTCTCCTGCCATGCCCACCCTGGGGAATGGGGCATGTCTCCACCATCCCCCCAAGCCTGCACAAAGCCAAGTTGGGGCAGTGGGTCCAAGAGGTAAGCAATGGGTGGGTGGGCATCTGGCTGCAGTGCTCCACCCTGTGTCCCAGGCTGGCCTCTCCCCTCCCCTCCTTCCCTCCCATCCTCCCCTCCCTCTACTCTCCCTCTGAGGGCTGCAAACCCCTGCCACAGCCAGCCAGCCAGGCGTTTGCACATGCTCTTGCTCGAGCGCGCGCTCTCTCACTCTCTCGCTCTCCCGCTCTCCCGCTAGCTCTCTCCCCCTCTCTCCCTCTCCCTCTCTGCGCACGCCTCCCGCCCGCCCTCGCTCCCTCCCCTCCCCAGCACTGCCGCATTCGCCGACTGCAGCTCCAGCCGCCGCCCGCGCCTCCCGGCCTTCCGCAGCCTCCGCGCCGCCAGCACCATGGCCAGCACCCTGTCCGGTAGGCGTCCGGGACGCGGACTTCTGGGGCGGTGGCGGGTCTGAGCGGAGGCCATTGTCTGGCCTCGCCTGAAGCTGGGGCCGGTGGCGGACTCTATTTTCACATCTCAGACCTCACGCTCTGCGAGGGCGCGGGGCGCGGCCGGGCCGAACCCGCAAGAACCGAGGTTCAGGGCCAACGGGTTGGGAACACCTGGTGCCCCAAGGGCGAGGATTGCGGCGCGGGTGCGGCGGGCGTGGGCCGCTGGGCAGGGGCCGCGCCCAAGCGAGCACCCGGGGCGAGGGCGCATTGCCCCTTCCGTGGCCGCCGTGTCAGGCCAGGCGCGACTGTGGCAGGGTGGCTCCGAGGGTCCGGGGGCAGCATCGTGCCCCCGGGTGGGCGCGCTGGGGAGGTGCAGACAGCGTCCCCCGAGGCGCCTGTCTACCGCAGACCCTGGTCCGACCTCGCCTTCGCGAGGGTGGGGGTTAGGAGTGTAGGACCCATAGCCAGCGAGCCCAGGCCTTATCTGCGCCAATGGAGCACCCTGGGGGCTGGAGGGACGCTGCGGAAGGACGGGGGAGGAGAAACCGAGCCGGGGGCGAGCGGAGCCGCGCCCGCGTCTAGCGTGGTCGTCCCCTCCCCTCGCTGCTGCGGGCTTGGGGACCGCTCTCTGCGACACGGTACCACCTGCTCTGGTCGAAAAAGCCACCGCCCTTTGCGCAGCGGGGTTTGGATGGAGGAGGGGCCGCTGCAGTTTCCAAGTCCTCCCAGCAAGGAGGGGTCTGCCCCTCCCTCCCCCACAGCCCCGCCTCCCAAGCTGCGGATCCACCGCCCCCAAGGCTGCGACCCTCCCCTCACGCCTGAGCCAGGCGCGGCTCTGGCGGAGGGGTGGACATGGGGCAGTTACTGGCGGTGAGAGAGCTGCGGGTGACCCTGGACGCGAGGACATGGGGCTTGCTCCCCCCAGGAACGCTCTGGCCTGTCTGGCCGCCCCAGGACCAACTTCATCTTTGCACTCCGTCGCCAGCGACATCAGGGCAGCGGCTCCCCACCTCCACCCCATTTCCCCCTGGACTCAGAACTCTACTCCCAGCCCACCCTTCCCTCCATTCTGGGGATCCCCTCTCCCTAGCTAGCCTGATTCTCTCTGGAGTGGCACACAGTTTGGCAGGTCTCCACACACTCACATGTGCCCTGCCCTGACCAGCTTCTCAGGCCCTGTGGGTCCCAGGCCCCAGGTGACTTCTGCACTTGTCTAGGAGGGGACCACATGTGTCACTAACCACACCCCTCCTGCACACAGTCCATGAGGGTCTTGTCCATCTGGCCTTCATCTGCCCCCTGCTCTGTCTTGTTGACCTCCTCAGAGATATTGGGCTCAGCTTTGGGCAGGAACTGAGGATGGTCTGTCCTTCCCATAGCCAGAGCGCTAGTCCAGTCCCACACTGAGGCGGGGTTTCAGGCCCCGGTCTGTGCCCGAGTGGGGGACAATGAGCAACCACTGGTGGGAGATGCTCTCAGCCTTTTCTCTTAGTAAAAACCCTGCTCAGTAGATCTCATCTGACAGGTAAGCAGACAGATTAGGTGGTGAAGGGATGCAGCCGAAGCTGCACTGTTGATGACCACCACAGGTGGGTGCAGATGTGCTGACCTCAAAACCCCCCCTGACACGAGCCCTCCCTTTGCCAGGCTTTGGGGTGCTGCTGACCCATGCTTGGTCCCAGGATTTTTCTGGGTGTCCAGGTTGCTGTTGGTGTGAAAAAGGAAACCATAAGCGCAATCAGTGTTGATCAGCACGGCCACTGCCTCATAGATGTGCCATGAGCCAGCCAGGAGAACTGCCTCCTGACAAAGTCACGCGGGGATGGGCCTTTCCTGTTTTACTGTCAGGGCTGCCCCGGAGAGAGTGCAGCCTACATGTGTGCATGCCTATGCCCACCTTCATAAAAATTGGATAGGCAGGAGGCTTGGCCCAGAAGTGGCTATGTGAGCAGATCAGTCATTGTGGCCAAAATCAGTTTAAGTGAATCCCAGCTATGGCTTCTCGGTTAAAAGAAGTCTCTGATTGGAGCAGCCCCTGGTGCTCCATGCCTCAGTGGCCTGTCTGCCCCAGCTCACTGGTGGGCTTCGTTGGTCTTGGTGACTAGGGTGAAGAGTCATTGTCTGCTATGACCTTGTGGTCACCGCAAGATTGACCTTAGCTTTCTCTTCCTCTGTTGACTTTCCCACCACCTTTCCCTTGAGCATCTGTTGATGGGCTATGTCACTGGGACTCACCTGGGGAGATGTGGCCATCTCTTGGTGTCCTTCCCACACACTCAGCTCTTCACACACTTTTGTAGAGTCTTGCTTATATTTATCTCCTTATGCAACTCCACTGAGCTGAGAGGGCTCGCCCGTGCTCCCTAAGCTCTCAGGCCTTAAGTGCATGGAGGTGATGGTGACAGCGCCTCCCATGGGCTTGTTCTGAGAGATGAACAGGGCATTCCAGGAAAGGTGCTTGGCCTAGTGCCTGACAAGAGATGGGTGCCCAGTCCATGCCAGGCAGTGTGACTATTGCAGCCACATTTCCCAGAGTTTCCTCCCCGGAGAAGCTGAATCTGCTGGCGCGTCCTGCCATGCTGGACTCCCAGCATGTTGCACGTGACTCTGACTAGTGAGAGGGGCAGCCTGGGGGACAATGAGCTCCATCTGCCAGGAAGCAATTCGCAGCAGCCTCCAGGACCCTTCTAGGGGTGAGTGGGCATCTGTGGGCGCCCTGCCTTCCCATTTCTGGATAGACAACCCCCCACCCCCACCACCATGAGGCTCCCAACAGGAAAGTGCAGCCAGAGGCTGGGGCTCATGATCAGGGTCCCATCCTGTCATGCTGTGTGACTCTGGGTGGGCTCCTTGCTCTCTCTCTCTTTTTTTTCCTCAGTAGAAATGAATCTGACAAGGGCTGGCTGTTCTTGAGGGTCAGCTGGGAGTATGGATGTAATGCACCCACCTCAAGGGTGTTGCCATTATGGTTACCATGCCACTGTAGGCTGATCTGGTGCCTTCTCACTCTTGCTCACCTAGGATCTAAGCATCCAAAAAGCCAATGTGCGTTTTTGCATATTTAACATTTAGTATGAAGAGGAAGAGAGAGATGAAAGCAATCCAGCTCATGCCAGAGATTTGCTTATAACGACTCCCTGAAGTCAGTGATGGGGAAGGAAGAGAAGGATTCTGGTGAGGGGGAGAAATAGCATGCCCCCAAGCTGCAGAGGGGCTTCCTGGCTTGAGCTCTGTCGATGGAGAGGTGCCTAGATGGGTCTGGGCCTCGACCTCTTCCCTCTGCAGTGAGACATGACCTTTAAGCCCCTCCAGTTCTGAGGACACAGGTGTAATCTCCTGTGTTGTGAGCTGCTGGGCCCAGGCCTGCTCTCCAGCCCCATGTGTGAGCTTCCCCTTTCTCACTGTCTGAAAATTTGCTAATTTCCCTACCTGCTGTCCAGTTCCCTCCAACTTGCAGCCAGACCACACAGCAAGCCTCATTCACAAGCCCCCTTCTGGGGGGGTGCCCCTTCCCACTTGGCTACTTAGGATGAGTCTTCTGGGAAGGAAGCTCCTCATGGGCCATCAGCCCAAGAGAAACCAACCTGAGGAATCTCCATGACCATCAAACACTGAGCTGCATCCCTATTACCAGCTGCAAGACATAGTCAGTCGCTCACTTCCTAGTTGGACACTGGTCCCCTGGGCTGGTCCATGCCCTCAGAGAGTTCTGACTTTAGTCTCCAGCATCCCCCCCCCATCCTTCTCCCCTGTGTCCTAACAAGGCGGTGCTCACACCTGCCCAAGCTCCACATCCTGCACCCTAAATTGCTGCCAACCTCCCTTCATACTCAGGCAACAGGTACTTGGAAGGGAGTCCCCTGACATTTGTCCATGAACTTGTTCTTCCTCTGTAATAAATGTGCAGCTCGTTTTCCTGGGAGAACTTCAGGCCCAAGGCAGCGGCTCCCCACCTCCACCCCATTTCCCTCCCCTCGCTGCTGCGGGCTTGGGGACCGCTCTCTGGGTACCCCTGTGATGCCCCAAGCTCCTGGCATGTATGGTAAACCCATTTGGAGATTTCCACATGTGCTACTGAAGAGCTGGCTTTACCCGGTCTTAAACCCTCTAACTCCCCAGCACATTAGTGTGAAGTACCCATCTCCCTCCTTTTTAAAATTAACTTTTAGGGGACGCGTGGGTGGCTCAGTCGGTTGGGTGTCTGCCTTCAGCTCAGGTCATGATCTCAGGGTCCTGGGATCGAGTCCCGCATTGGGCTCCCTGCTCTTTGGGGAGTCTGCTTCTCCCTCTGCCGCTCCCCCAACTTGTTCTCTCAATCTCTCTCTTTCAAATAAATAAAATCTTTAAAAAACTTTTGAAAAACTCTATCATTCTAAAAATAAATAAAATTAACTTTTAATAGCACAAATAATACACAAATAGATTATGCTTGTAAAAAAAAATAAAATTGACATGTCAAGCCAAAATTCCCTTTGAGGCCTGCACACATCCAGCCCACTTCCCTCCCAGCCTCCTGAAGCCAATGACCAAGGCGCATATCTCTGCCCTGCTACCCCTCCACTCACCTTAAAGGATCTCCTTGCTGCCTGCCCGGGATTCCTTTGTGCTCCCTTTAGAGTCTCTTGGGCTCTCTCCAGAAGCGTCTGGGTCATCGGGACGTTTAGATCCAATAACATCATTCTCTGCACTGGTTGATGGAGAACCCTGCTCACCATGAGCTGCTCTCTCAGACAAGGGCCTGATAATTTCTGTCCTGTGTCCTGTTTCTACACCAACACTTTCCCCAACTTCACATTAACTCAATTTTTTTAAAAAGATTTATTTGTTTGAGAGAGCGAGAATGAGAGAGAGAGAGAGAGAGAGTACATGACGGGGGGAGGGTTAGAGGGAGAAGCAGGACTCAATGCGGGACTCGATCCAGGGACTCCAGGATCATGACCTGAGCTGAAGGCAGTCGCTTAACCAACTGAGCCACCCAGGCGCCCCAACATTAACTCAATTTTAACACATTGTCTTGTGTGAAATTTGATCAGAAAGTTTCTTTTTTTTTTTTTTTTTAAGATTTTATCTATTTTTTGACAGAGTCAGAGAGCACAAGCCGGGGGAGGGGGAAGCAGGAGAGGGAGAAGCCGACTCCCACCAAGCAGGGAGCCCGATGTGGGGCTCCATCCCAGGACCCTGAGATCATGACCTGAGCCGAAGGCAGACGCTTAACCGACGGAGCCACCCAGGTGCCCCAGTCAGCAAGTTTCTTGTCCAAATTCGTGTCTGCTCCTTGGAAGACCCCTTCATGGAGGCCAGACTCCCTCTCTGGAGACCTGTACCAGCTTCTCCAGCTAGGGCGGCAGGAGGATGGGTCTCTGAGTCTCCTAGTCTTTGGGACCCGATGGAGTGGTGTAAAGAACACAGACCACCTGGGATTGCACTTGAGGAGCTTTGGGCAAGTCACCCTTGCCACTGGGGCCCAGTGTCATCTCAGTTGAGCCCGGGGACAGTCTTGGGCTTGAAGATTGTTAAGCATTAGTGAGACACTGGGCCAGCGTGTCTACCTTAGGGCCTGGCTTGTCATGAATGGGCCACAGAAAGCTGTTATTTCCATTCTGACAGTGGGCTTCTCCCCTTCACCTCACAGGACTCAGGGCCTCAGCAGACAAGTGTACGTCCTTTTCTGGTTGGACTCGGGGCACACTGGCTGTGGGCACCTGCTCTGCAAGACTAGAGGGCAGGCTTTGGTGCTGAACGGACAGCTCCCTACCTTTTGGCTCTGGGTGGGCAGGGAGTGTGTGCCTGGTGATGGCCTGGTTTCACCTGGGGTGGCTGCAATGCTATCAGGGTAAATGGGGGCGGGGGGTCACACAGGAGGAAGTCTGACAACTTCACCCAGGCGTACAGACCAAGAAAGTGCTGCCTGCAGAAGTTCCACATCTGTGCTGGCCCAGTCATGAGTGTGGTGGTTAATATCTGTAAGAGGGAAAGGGCAGGAAGGAGAGAGAAGAACATGGAGGGCCAGGGATGGTGGGTCAGGAAAATACACAGTGACAAAGGGTCATGGAGACATGCAAAGACACAGAGAGAGAACTGAACCAGGAAGACAAAAGGATGGACAGAGACCAACAAACACAGCGATGTAGAGGAATGAGACGGAAACGCCGAGAGAGAAAAGGAGAAGGAAGGGGGTATTAGGAGAACAATGCAGGACAACCCACAGGAAGGTGTGCCCAGGGACAAGGTCAGCTTCTGGGAGTGGGGAGAGGGAGAGGAGAGCTGTAGAGAGGCAAGGGAACAGAAAAGAGAGCGAGATACACAGGCTTCCAGAGAGACACAGCATGGGGAGTACTGGGGAGGGAAAGACAGAGGCAGCCAGGGAGGTGAGGTCGGGAGGTGGCCATGGCGCCCTCTCATGCTGGCCTCATGCCCACAGCCTACAAGGAGAAGATGAAGGAGTTGTCAGTGCTGTCGCTCATCTGCTCCTGTTTCTACTCACAGCCGCACCCCAACACCATCTACCAGTATGGGGGTGAGTGTGCCCCAGGCAGCTGCCAGGTCCTGCTTGGCCAGTGCCTGCGTCCTCCTTTCCTTGCTCTCTTCTCCCCTGGCCTCTCTGACCACTCCCCTCGGCTCAGCTGGCTTCTGGGAGGGAGCCTCTGATGGGAGGCAGCCTTGGGCGCTCAGGCCTGGGGGTCCCACATGAGCAGCCGTACTCCCTCCCTCAGCCCTTGATTTGGATGTGTACTGGGAACATGACCCCTCAGATTCCTGAAGCCCAATCTGGTTTTGCAGACATGGAGGTGAAGCAGCTGGACAAGAGGGCCTCTGGCCAGAGCTTCGAGGTCATCCTCAAGTCCCCTTCTGACCTGTCCCCCGAGAGCCCAGTGCTCTCCTCTCCCCCCAAGAGGAAGGACACCTCCCTGGAGGAACTGCAGAAACGGCTGGAGGCAGCTGAGGAGCGAAGGAAGGTGAGGAGCCCAGTCCTGCCCCCAGATCCTGACGAAGGTGGCCAGAGGCCTCACTGGGCACAGACAGGGTCCCCAAGGCACAGGGTGCTCCAAGCCCCTGCTTGGCTGTTGGCCTGGAGTGGAGAGGGTCTCATGGTTCCCTGGATCTCCTCTTGGGAGATCAGAATAGGACAGGGAGGTGAAGGGTTCCCCAGTGGCAGCCAGCTGGAGAAGCACAGGAACCAGATACTGTTGGAGGGGGTGTCCTTGGCCATGGCCAGGAGGGGGCCCTGGGACATGAGTCTGGGCTGGCATCCTTCTCCAGGGTAGAGAAGTGAGTGAGAAGAAAGGGATTCCCATGTGTTGGGGGCTGCAAGCCCACATCTGCTGGGAGTTCAGGGGGCCCCTGGGAGAAGGGGGGCATGTGCCCCAGGCTCCCTCCCTGTTCCTTCCCCTCACACCAGCCCCACGGAGACTGAAACACACACAAAAGGAGTACTCTCAGGAGTGCAGTCCTGATGCCCAAGCCCACTGGGCAGGGGCACTGGCTCCAAATCCCTTACAGCATGTCCCAGTGAACCTGGGGACCCAGGCCTCCTAGGGTTAACTAGCAGTGACTGGCACGTGGGTGGGCCCAGCAGCCTTGCGAAGGAGCTGCGAGCCCTAGCGTCTCTGACCTCACCTCTCCTCTGGGCCTCCAGGCAGCCCCTCCCCCACTAGGGCTGGACAGTGCAGCAGTCCCAGCAGTCCCAGTCTCCTCGCTCCAACTAGTCCCTTCTCCAGCAGCCCTGGGCACCCTTACACAGCCCCCCGCCCCTCAGGGAACTCAGAACCCAGGGCATATCAAGCACCTACTTTGAGCTCGGCGGGCAGACGTTTGAGGAGATGGTGCAGGTTCCATGGCAGCCCATAAGTTTTTAATTTGCTCTGCTCCTCCAACATTCCCTGAGTGCACCACGGGCTTTGGAGGCGGCAGCGAGCGGGACAGAGCCTGTCTTGCTGCGTGGGCGCCCTCAGCTTAGCAGGAGGGACAGCTCTGCGGGCTGACGACGAGCAGACAGGGTGAGCAACTTCCGGTTTGTCTGGGGCTGGGGGTTCTCCTGGCACGCGGACCTTGCGGTGCTAAAGCCCAGAAGTCCCAGGCAAACTGGGACCAGGTGAACACCCTCGCCGACGGCAGGGCAGTGTAGACCCGAGGTCCAGTGGGCAGCAGGTAGCCGGCTCAGGCTGGGCAGCTGGGCAGCAGGGCAGGGGAACGGACACTGGGCGGAGCCGAGACAGCGCGCGGGGAGGCCAGGCTTGCGTGGGGGGCTGGGGGCAGGGGCCCGGCCACCGCCCACGCGCGCGCCCCCGTCCGCCCGCACAGACGCAGGAGGCGCAGGTGCTAAAGCAGCTGGCTGAGCGGCGCGAGCACGAGCGCGAGGTGCTGCACAAGGCGCTGGAGGAGAACAACAACTTCAGCCGCCTGGCGGAGGAGAAGCTCAACTACAAGATGGAGCTCAGCAAGGAGATCCGCGAGGCGCACCTGGCGGCGCTGCGCGAGCGGCTGCGCGAGAAGGTGCGCGCCGGGGCGGGGCTTGGCGAGGAGAGCGCGGGACCGCGATCGAGGAGGGGGCGGGGCGAAGGCGGGAGCGGTCGGTCTCCGGGGGCGGGGCCCGGCGCGGGGGCGGGGCCCGGCGGGGCGGATCCCGGGCAGCAGGAAGTGGGCCTTCGCCTGCGTTTACTGCGCGCCTGCGGTCTCGGCCTCGGCCCCCAATTCGGTCCTGGTGGGACACGGCCAGTGACCGCGGTAATAAACCGATAGTCATTACTTTTGAAGTGCTGCGAAAGGCGCGGGTTTGAGCTAGAAGAGGGGAGGAGCTGCTTTAGGCTGGGGGGCCAGGGAAGCCCCCGGGGGCCCCCCCGTCCTTTGGTGGTACCTTCCCACTGCACCACCAGCGCCCTCGCAGCCCGGCTGCTCCCTGTCCTGCATGGAGACAGCCCAGAGTGAGGCGAGGCCCCGCCCTGGCGGGAGCCCCCTAGGAGTAACCTCTGCTTCAGCCCGCGGGGTGGGACCAGGTTGGTGCCAGGGGGTACCCTGGAGCTTGCAAACCCAGGGAAGTTCCCTGGAGTCAGGCTCTCTCTCTGGTTTGGGTGCCACCCTGTCTCACTGAGGGCCAGCCCCCGCACTCAGGCCACACTTCGAGGGGAGGACATGGGCCTCCCCCTGTTCTCTGTTGCTCCTCCGTCCTAGTCGTTAAGGGGTCCCATTGGTCGCTTCTCCTGCACTTAGGAGGGTCCCTGAAGCCTGGGCGTGGGGGAGGGGGCAGCCCCCTCAGCCGCCACGGCGGGCGCAGGGCCCCGCCCACCTCCGCCTGTCCTCCCAGGAGCTGCACGCAGCTGAGGTGCGCAGGAACAAGGAGCAGCGAGAGGAGATGTCCGGCTAAGGGGCTGCGGAGCAGAGGCGCCTGGATCCTGAGAGGAGACATCGACACATGCGGGTTCTGGTTTCGTCTTGTGCCACTTTGTCTAGATGCAACTTTTGCTCCTGCCCCTTCCCTGCCCCGCACTCCCAGCTCCCGCTTCTCTTTCCGCTCTGAGCCGTCCAGTCCTCCGCAGGCTCCCCATCCAGGAGCCGCCAGGGCGTGGCACACAGTCCCTCACTTCAGGCACCAGGCCAGGCAGTGGCTGGGTCCCCTGTTGGTGGCCCCTCAGATGTGGTGACAACCTCAATAAATCCAGTGGTGGTAGCAGGAACATGTGGGTCCTTATGCTGGCTTGTCCTGTGAGCACCTTGTACTTAGGGCACGTCCTCTGAGCCAGCTCCCTGCCGCTGACAGGCAGAGGTGACACCACGTGCAAGGCCTTCGGTGGGAGGGGGCAGAGGAAGGAAGAACGACCTCTGGGCAGCGTGTGGCCTGGTCAGCCGTGGTGCCATCTGTGCAACGGAATGTTTTGGAATGGGTGGGTCGGGGTCCTCTGAGGCCACCTGGCCTGCAGTGGCAGCTTGGTCTTGGGGGGGAGGGTGGGATGTGGCCTGGCCTGTCTTCAGGGGAGTGGGCATTCTGCCATGGTCTACAGGGTTGTGGACTGCACGGACACATCTTGCTGGCCCCTCCTCCCAGGAGTGCCCGCCTCCTAAGAACGTCTGGCCCAGTACCCATGTGGGGAAAGCCCTCCTCCCTCATCACTCCTCTTCTCCCCCTAGGCTTTACAGGCCCTTGGAGGACTCCATCTTGAGAGCCCTGTGGAGTCTTGGCCCCTTCCTGTGCCCTCACCCTGGTAGAAAGATGCTCCCATGATGCTCCGGGCCATGGGGCTTTCAGGCTAACCTCTGAGTGAGTGGCAGCCACAGGTGCCCCTCAGGGAGCAGACAGCAGGGGGAGTAGGGGACCAGCTGCCTGCAGATTCAGAAGTTGGGGGATGGGATTCCCAAACCACCTTCCTGCCTAGTCCATCCTTGACTTTCTTGACCTGTGCCCCCCCCCCCCCCCTGCACTCCCTCCCTCCCGGCTCCAGGCCTCTCCTGCCAAGACCTTCCTGGACTGGGCTCCTTCTCCTCCTCCAGATTCCCAGCACCGGCCTTTGAGGACTGTCAGCTGCTGGCCATGGGGGGTGTTCAGTCTTTGGGCCATGGCAGCACCCTCCCCTTGTCCCGTGGCAGCCCCATCCCAAAGCTGAGTACTGAGGGCAGGGTCCCTGCTGACCATCCTCTGGGTGGAGAGCATGAGGGGACGGACTGCAAGTTCTTGCAGGACCCAGAGCCAGCACTTCAGAAACCAGGTGGGTGGCAGCCCCCTGGGGCCCCTGGCTTCCATCCTACAGAAACATGCTGGTGCACTCCCAGGGCCCAGCCAGAGAGCACAGGTGGATGCTGATCCCCTACCACAGGCTTAGGGGGAGGGAGGGCCCCATGCCCATTCTCCTCGTCCCACCCACACAGCCTCGGGGGAGTGACAAGCTAGGATTGGAACCCAGCTGTCCCACACGCCGCTCCTGTGGGACTCAGAAAGGGACACGGAAAGAGAACGGAGGGCTGGATTTCCTTCAGCAGCGGCAGCTCTCTCATAGCGGAAGCCTAGTGTGATATGTACCCATCTCATCCACGTAGTGACAGTGAACTTAAAATTAAATCAAATGAATGATTAAAAACAAAAAACCAAAGCCTGTGTGTTTCAGAAGCGGCTGAGCTGCCCTGTGTGCATCCTGCCTCTGTGGGGTCGGAACAGGCTGCAAGGCCACTGCTGGAGGGGGCGTGAATGCTATGCACGTAGCTCGGGACTGAAGCTGGTTATCACACTTGTTCTTATCACAATTGCCAATAGTTCTAATGACAACGGAGGCGTTAAGGAGTGAGTGTGTAAATGACACACAAGCCTGTTTTCCCCTCTGGAGCCCCAGGAGACAGTGGGGGTGTGAGGGAGGAGGAGGCAGGGCCCACAGGCAGGTGGGGCTGTCCCCGCTCTCCCCAGGCCTGAGCCCTCCTGCTGGCCTGGGCCCCAGGCTGCTGCTAACGGAGAACTCATGAGGGTCCGAGATCCGAGGCTTGTCCTTCTCACTGCAGTGTCCTGTGGGTCTTGCTCAGATGTGGAGTGGGTCCTAGCGGGTCCCAGGGGTGTAACCTGTGGCTCTGTGGCCCCCATTGGGCAGCTGATTGTTCACAGACACAGACCTGGCCCCAAGGTGGGGACCTAGAGTGGCAAAGAGAGAATAAGCAGACATCCTGACTCATGCTGGTGGCCTGCCTGTCCCATGGGACCCAGAGAGCCAGTTGGGGTGCCCAGCAGGGACCCCTGTGCTAGGGAGGAGGCATTTTGGTAAATGTCCATGCAGGCTATGCTCAGGCCTCCACATGGGCCTCAGGTCCAGGTCCTGGATAGGTGCCTGCTCCCTAGGATCCAGAGAGACCCCTCCACTCTCCCCCACACTCACCGACCTCTCCTGGGGCAGGCGGTCCTGGCTACTTCCCCAGGCTCCAAGGACCTCTCACCATATCCCCTCCTTCCCCTGCCCAGGGAGAGGTGGGAAAGTCAGAATCCAGGACACACAGCCGCCCAAAAGACAGAGACCTCAGAAACCTGCAAGAGGAAAAACTGGGAGAAAGGTGGGAGAGAAAGGGAGTGCGTTGTTTTTATGAGGCATGAGTTCTGCATGCCGGTATCCTGGGCACATGGACACACGCCACATACAAGCACACGCCTGGCGTTCCCAGAGGACCAGGCTGATCACAGGCCAGGGCTTACTCTTAGGGGACCCTAAGCAGGTATTAGGGGGCAGACGGCATTTCTAACAGTCACCACGTGGAGCCTCTGACTTGGGCAAGGATGGGGAACCCTTCACAGACCGATCACACTTTCCCTAACAACAAAAAAGCAAAGGTGGGAGTCCTGGGGAGCCAATCCTGTGTTATCTACGCTGTGTCACAAATTACCTCAAGCGGTGGCTTAGAACATCACGCCTTATCTCACCACGTCCTTAAATCAGGAATTCAGGAGCTGGGCAGTCAGGCTCAGGGACTCTCCCCAGGTTGCAGTCGGGACGTCGGCTAAGCCTCTGGTCCCCCCCAAGGCTGGACTGGGGTGGAGGATCCTCAAGTCAGCTCACCCACACGGAGTCAGCAGGCGGCCTCTGGTCCTCCCACATGGACGCTCCCCAGGGCTGTGTGGGCGTTCTCAGCACGTGGCTGCTGGCCCCCCAGGGCGAGCTGTCAGAGAGGGAGAGGGGGCAGAGTCCCACGCATTCTCTGTGTCAGAAGCACGTCACTGAGAAGAGCCAGCACTCAAGAGGAGGCAGACTCCACCTGTGAAGCAGAGGGATGAAAAGAATCCGTGGGCATATTTTAAAACCACGTCAGACGTGCTGCCTTGAGTGACCCTGTGTGTTCTGGACACAGCTGGTGTTCACTCAGTGTCTGGGGGCTGTAGTGGGCCCCCAGCCCCCAAATACGGCATCTAGCGGCACCGGCCAGATGGTAGCCCAGAGAGCTGTCTGTCCCACACTTCCTGCCAGGCAGGCTCAGCTGAGATTCTCTCTCTCTTTGCTGAAGACATTTTGCTAGTCCACATTTCTAGCCATGTCCCAGGACTGCTGTGACAACTGCCACACACGGGGGGCTTAAAACATCAGCCACGCATTCTCTCACAGTTCTGGGGCCAGAACCCCAAATCGAGGTGTCGCAAGGCCGTGCCTCCTCTGAAGGCTGTACGGCAGGGTCATCCTGGCGCCTCTTAACTGGCTGTCGGGAAAGGTGGTCTTTCCACCCCAAACAAAACCACTTAGCAATGGGCTTCGGGCCTGGAACCCTTCTTTCCAACAAATAAGGAGCCCACAGAACTTGTACAGGACATCCTTCCCTGCCGTAAGCTACGTGAGCGATCTGTTGTCCTGTTGTCCTGCTTGGGTGAGTGCCCCAGGTGAGTACCCCGGTGAGCACCCTCAGGTGAACACCCCCAGGTGAGCGGCCTAGGTGAACACCCCCAGGTGAACACCCCCAGGGGAGTACTCCCAGGTGAGCACCCGTGAGCACCCTCAGGTGAACACCCCCAGGTGAGTGGCCTAGGTGAGCACCCTCGGTGAGCACCCCCAGGTGAGCGGCTTAAGTGAGCACCCCAGGTGAGTACTCCCAGGTGAGCATCCCAGTGAGCACACTCAGGTGAGCACCCCCAGGTGAGCGGCCTAGGTGAGCACCCTCAGGTGAACACCCCCAGGTGAGCACCCCCAGGCATGCCCCCCAACTTTCAGTACTCAGACTCCAGGGGGTTGGCTGTCCCCACTGCAGCACAGGAGGGGTGCATGCACAGGGACCAGCTGCCCAAGCAGACCTTGTGCGTCTCTTCCTTGCATGAGTAAAGCTGCTCTGTCAGCACTTGACTGTTTCACGTTTTCCTTGGCAACTCCAAGGCCAGGAGTGGGCAGAAGTGTTGGGACTCTTACCCCAGGTGGCTGGTGCTGTGAAGAGCTTTGCTCTCTTCCACTTGGCAGGGGTCCTCCCCTGGGATTGGGAACCAGAGCTGGTGTTCTGCAGGACACTTGCAATCTTTGGCGTCCGTTGGCTTGTTCATGTGTCATGCCAATCTCTGTGGTCACATGGCCACCTCCCCTTTTTGTGTATCTATCTCTGTGGGACACCAGTCCTTGGATTGGGGCCCCCCTAATCCAATATGACCTCATTTTAGCTAATTATACCTGCAACAACCCTATTTCCAAATAAGGTTCATTCTGAGTTACTGGGAATTGAGATGTCAACGTTATCTTTGGGGGACATGATTCAACCAAAACCAGAAGCTGTAGATATGTAGTTCATAGCTTTATTTTTTTAAAGTAATCTCTACATGCAGCATGGGACTTGAACTTAGAACCCTGAGTTCAAGAGTCGCAGGCTCCACTGACTGGGTCAGTCAGGTGCCCCAGTATAATTAACTTTAAAGCATTCATGCATTTATTGGTGTATTTTAGCGAGTGCTTACTACATGTGCCCCTCACTCTAGAGAATGTTGCTGATTTGAAAGCATAGCTCCTGCCCCGTGAGCACCCCTGGTGAGCACCCCAGTGAGCACCCTCAGGTGAACGCCCCCAGGTTCAATAAGTGCACAGTAACTTGAGTTTTCAAGGCACTTTATAATGTTTTTAATCTCCAAAATGTCCACTATGAGGAAAACAGGGTAGACATTATTTTTATGACATTAATATTTCTTTCTGGTTATACATGTAATATATGCTCACTGAATCACTGCAAAGTGCAAAGAAAGAAAACCTCGATCCACCAAAACTCCTTTCCTGCAGAGAGGATTTGCCCCATCAGCAGTGTTGAGGGAAGCCAACATTCAAACCTCTGAGAACTACACATCGTAACAGGTTAGCACTTGTCCACGTCATAAGCATGGCTTCAGTGGCTGTGTGGTCAGCTGTCATCTCTTTTATGGATGTACTGGGGCTTTTGAGAAAACTTCACCAACTTTTTGGTTTCATAAACTTTTTGCTTATGTGGATTATATAGATTGACAGTTACCACATTAGGAATTAAAACTCAGGAATTTAAAAAATAGCAATTCATTTAAAATGATACACCCATTACATGTTGATATAACATTTTTAAAAAATATTTTATTTATTTATTTGAGAGAGAGGGAGAGAGCATGAGCGGGGAGGAGAGGAAGCCCGACATGGGGCTCGCTCCCAGGATCCTTAGTCATGACCTGAGCTGAAGGCAGATGCTTCACCGACTGAGCCACCCAGGTGCCCCATAACATTTTGAAAGGAAAAATAATATCATGTGTCAACTATACTCATGTAAAAAAATCAGTGCAAATCATAATCCCATTTAAAAAAAAACCCTTATTTTTAGATCTGTAAGATGTGATGGAAAATGACAGAATAATGGAAAGTAAAATGAAATAAAAGTATAAAAGATGTAAAGTAAAAGCAAAGTGGAAAAACAACAGTAAAATCAAAGTCTCTAGGATATCAACTGGACCCTGAAAAAGTAGATTTGATTTCAGTGACCTGGTGAAAACATGTATGATATCATGGCACAAACATCTAATAAAAATGCTTAAAAAATAAAATAAAATAAAAATGTTTGCTTAAAAAAAAACAACAGGGGCGCCTGGGTGGCTCAGTCCGTTAAACGGCTGCTTTCCACTCAGGTCATGATCCTGGGGTCTTGGGATCGAGCCCCGCGTCTGGCTTCCTGCTCGGCGGAGAGCCTGTTTCTCCCTCTCCATCTGCCTGTCACTTTGCCTACTTGTGCTCTCTCTCTGTCAAATAAATAAATAAAATCTTTAAAAAAAACAAAAAAACAAAAAAAAAAACAGGGGCACCTGGGTGGCTCAGACGGTTAAGCGTCTGTCTTCGGCTCAGGTCATGATCCCAGGGTCCTGGGTTCGAGTCCCACATCGCTGAGCATGGAGCCTGCTTCTCCTTCTCCCTCTGCCTGCCACTACCCCTGCTTGTGCGCTCTCTCCTGTCAAATAAAAAAGAATCTAAAAAAAAACCCACAAAAAAACAAAACCAGGGGCGTCTGGGTGGCTCAGTCAGTTGGGCGTCTGCCTTTGGCTCAGGTCATGATCCCAGGATTCTGGGATGGAGCCCCGCATTGGGCTCCCTGCTCAGTGGGGAGTCTGCTTCTCCCTCTCCCTCTGTCTGCTGTTTCCCCTGCTTGTGCTCTCCCTCTCTCTGTCAAATAAAATAAAATAAAAAAATAAATAACCACCACCAAAATGAGTGACCTCTTCTTAGGAAAAAAAGTGAGAATGGATGAAGCAGATGAAAAAAATCTGGTCTCAGATCCATAGTTGAAGGAAGGTGTGTATTAACAGACTGTTCTTTAATATTAGATCAAAGCTTGATGGGGGCACTTTCTTAAAAGGTGGTGGCAACGTGAATCTGAGATCATGCCAATGAGCCTTTCATACTCTTCCATCAGGGCACTGTCTCGAGCTTCTGCACACCTTGCATCAGCCTGTGGCTCTGCAGCTCCTGGTGCGTGCGCAGTGTTCCGCTGCACACACTCGGGGGGGCCTGGGAACCTCACATGGGTGTTCCTGGGGAGAAATCACTCCTCTGGCCCCCAGTACAAACTGATCCATCCCGTCCCCAAGCAGAGCCCAGTGCTGGAACTTCGCTCTTTGGCAGACAGAAGAGGGGAGCACACGTTCCAAAGCTGGGCCTGAGGTCCTATGACACAAACAGGTGGAGGTCATGCAGCAGTGGAAACAGCGATGAGGCAGTCTGGGTGCCCGCAGACTCTGGGCTGGTTGTCACAGCGGCAGGCCGCTGATGCAGACACAGCTCCCGTGCCACACAGGCCTGGTCTCCGTCACCAGCATCCTTCTGAGCCTTGTCCCTTAGGCTACTGGCATCATCTCAAGAACATGAGATAAACGACAGACACAGATCCTGCACTGCCGTTCTTGTATTTACCAGGTAACAAAATAGCAGCTCCAACATAAGCTCAGCAGTTTAATCTTTAAAAAAAATATTTTATTTACTTATTTGAGAGAGACAGAGCGAGCACGAGTTGCGGGAGGGGCAGAGGGAGCGGCAGACTCCCCGCCGAGCAGGGAGCCCAACTCAGGGCTCCATCCCTGGACCCTGAGACCATGAGCTGAGCCAACGTCAGATGCTTAACGACTGAGCCACCCAGATGCCCCAACAGTTTACCCTTAAAAAGAATAATCATTTTCCATCGCCGGCTTAAGTGCACTCCAAATTACTGGAAACAGAATGAATTATAACATCACTGAAATGAAGTCGGCCTGAAAACCTCCCGTTTGGGAAAGGGTCTTCAGTATCTTCCTACTCAAGTACGAGCACAGGTTCATGGCTTGGTCCCCAACAGGTATCTGCTTCTTGCCCTCTCGGGGCCCTCACCGGGGGCACGCGCACACCGGGGCTGCACTTCCCCGGCTGCTCGCAGGAGAGGAATCCCACCCGCATCGGGAGAGCTCGGGCGCGCTGCCTTGTTCCGAGCTGGGCCGCGTCCGCCACCCTCTGGGCACCGCCCCCACTGCCCGCACCGGCCGGCCACGCACCACGCCCGATTCCGGGGCCCTCCCGGGGTCCTCGGCCCAGAGCTCAGCACAGGGCACATCACTGCCTGCGACCGCTGCCGCGGGGCGACCCCTGCGCTTTCGGATCCGGCCGCGGGGACGGCGGCAGCCGGCTCCCAAGTCCAAGGTACCCGCGACAACCGAGGAATGCTCCCCCTCTCACGTCCCGGAAATGCAAGGCCTTTACCTGTCATTGAACGTAACTGAGAGGAGCGCGCGCGGCGCGGTGTCGCTCGGGGGCCGCTCGGGGCCGCTCGGGGCTCCGTGACGGCTGCGGAGCGGAGTCTGAATGCGAACTAGCTGGACGTAAAGGAGCGCGCGCCGCCAGCGGCCAGGACCCCGGCCAGGCTGGGGAGGTTCGGCTCAGACCGCTCCAGGCCCCTTCCAAGGGCCGCCACAAGAAATAAAGCCGCTCCTGGCAGGATTCGGGCCAGACCAGCTGCTCTCCGGGAGCCTGTCTCCGGACAAGCGGACCTACATCTGGTTTCCGCCACTTACTGTTCACGCACGTCCTCCCCCGCCCCGTCCTCCGAGGAGTCTCCCTGCACAAGCTTCCAGCGCGGCTGCTCCACGTCGGGCAGCAGAGCGGCCGGAAGCCGCAGGTGCCCGGCGGGCGGGGCCGGCGAAGGCGCCGCCGCGCCCGCGCCGCGCCACGCCCCTGCCCCACGCACGCGCGCCGGGGCCCGCCGGGCCTTATTTCTCGGGGCAGCACGCCCTCCCACCGAGCGCCAAATAAGTCTCCGGGCCCGCCCCCGCCCTGCGTGCGCGGCCCCGCCGCCTGCGTCACTAGGAAGCGCGCGCCCGGGTTGCCGCCGCCGCCGCCGCCGCCGCCGCCGAATCCCCAACAAGGAGCGGAGCCCGCGGCCGCCGCCGCCGCCGCCCGCCTGACGCCGCCGCCGCCGCCCGCCCGCCGGCGCCCGCGCAGGCCCGGCCGCGGCCCAGGTAAGCGCCCGCGGCCCCCCCGCGGCGAGGCCTCTCGCTCCGCCGCGCGCCGCCGTCCAGTCAGGGGTCCCTGCGGAGCGTCAGGACGTTACGGCGGGGGGAGGGGAGCGGGGGAGGGGCGGCGGCGCGCGGCGGGCGTCACGGGCGTCACGGGCGTCACGGGCCCGCGTCAGGCGGCGTCGGCGGCGGCGTCCGCCTCCATCTTGCCGGAAGGCGGCGGGCGGGCGTCTGGGGGCGGTGGGGATGGCCCCTGGGCTGGGCGCGGACCCCGGCCGTGTGGGGACCGTGTGGACGCCCCCGCTTCCGCCGGCCCGGTGGGAGCCCCGTCCACGCGGGCCCCGCTCTCCCCGGCCCGGTGGGAGCCCCATCCACGCGGGCCCCGCTCTCCCCCGGCCCGGTGGGAGCCCCGTCCACGCGGGGTCCCCTGTCCCCGTCCACGCGGGCCCCGCTCTCCCCCGGCCCGGTGGGAGTCCCGTCCACGCGGGGCCCCCTGTCCCCGTCCACGCGGGGCCCGCTCTCCCCCGGCCCGGTGGGAGCCCCGTCCACGCGGGGCCCCCTGTCCCCGTCCACGCGGGGCCCGCTCTCCCCCGGCCCGGTGGGAGCCTCGTCCACGCGGGCCCCCCCCTCTGGCCCGGTGGGAGCCCCGTCCACGCGGGCCCCGCTCTCCCCCGGCCCGGTGGGAGCCCCGACCACGCGGGCCTCCCTCCCCGCGCAGTGGGTCAAGCCCCTGTGGGCCCTCGTTGGGGGTCGTGCGGATGCAGATGCATTAGCAGAAACTGTAGACGGGGACCCGAGGCGGGTCCCGGCCTTCGAGGAACTTGGTTGGCTGCTCGGTCGGTTCGGTGGACTTTTCCTCGGAAGCAGAGCGCTCGTGCGTGGGCGAGGCTGTGCGCCTTTAGTAGAACCCGGCGAGTCTGCCGAGGAGTCCAGTCGGGGAGCCCCGGTTACCTAACCCAGCCCCCTCCCACCCTCCGGTCTTGCGAGAGCGGCATGGAGCACGAAGACGTGTACCTTCCAGCATATTCTAAGGCGGATGCTGCAGGGTCCAGGCTCCCCAGGACTCGGTCCACGCCGCGAACTCGGTGCCGCACGACCCTCGTTCCCGCTCCCTGCCCCCCCGGGTGTGTTTGGGGTCCTCCTCTAAGTGGTGGCCGCCAGTGTCTGCCCTGCGTGTGGCCTGTCTCCCCGAGCACGCTGTCACCAGGCGGCGGCCCGCGTGCACCTGCCATGTGCTCTCAGGCCGCGCTGTGGGCGCGCGTCCGCCGTTTCCGTGGCGCGCAGAGCTCGCCTGGGGCCGCCGATGCCGGGTCCTCCGGGTTGGAGGCACAGTGGAGTGCTGGATCGTGGGGCAGTCGTGTTTTCAGGCTTCGGCGGAGCCGCACGTCGTGCGACCGTCGTGCGACCGTCGTGCGACCGTCGTGCGACCGTCGTGCGACCGTCGTGCGACCGTCGTGCGACCGTCGTGCGACCGTCGTGCGACCGTGTCAGCCTTAGGGAAGAGTGACGACGGAGACTAGGCAGAATGCTGGTCCGCAAGCGGTTCCTGCACGGGAGGGATCTGAGTGTTGGGGAGGATGCCGGAGGGGGGAGGAATCTGTAGTCACGGGCCGACGTGGAGTGTTTCTAGGAGTTTAGAACACTGGGGGGCTGTATTCAAATCTAAGGCTTGAAATAACCCGTTTGGTGGCTGAACTGAGAAAGGAGGCCACTGACGTGCTTTCTCTGAGCCAGAGAGGCTGCAGGCCGGCAGGGCCGGCCAGCTTGGCCCGGTGTGCGGCCCCGATTGTCCCGGGGAGGCAGGAAGGACCAGAGGGGTCGCCTCTGGGGGGCAAGAGAAGCTGGAAATCTGCACTTTATGTGAACCCTGTGAACTTTGACAAAGTTGGCAACTAAGTTTTGAAACTCTGCGAAGAGCCAAGAAATGGTGCCTGTGGGCCCCTGGATGCAGCTGTTGCTGTGTTCTTAGTGTTTTTAGCAAAGGAAAACACTTGGGATCTTGCAGGAGACGCGGAAGGCCAGATCTGAATCTGATGTACCGACCACACACGGACATTTTTGTCTCGTTTTTATATATGTATGATCAAGAATGATACTTTAACGATACCAGTATTTTATTTACCTTAAAATTAATTGGGGCTTGACTCATGCTGGTCAGGAACCCAAGCTCTGGATGGAGACCCAGGCTTCCGTGTCCCCTTCACCACAAGCCCGGGGCCAGGAAGGTCGCGCTCGCCCACTGGGGAGTGCAGTTCTGGTTGTTGAGCTTGTTCTGTGTGTAAATATCCTCGTGTCAAGGACCTGAACTGCATTCTGTGAGGTAACTTTCAGGTGTGTTGTTGTGAAAACTTAATACAGTTGGCATCGGAGAGGCAGGAATTCAGTTTTGTGCTCCCCAAAGTCCTGAAATTTGAGGGAGCACAGCTGCCTGTAGAGAGGATCCCTACCTTGCTGCAGCTTTTGGTTGAAGTGTGATTCTCGTGGCCCTGTGGAGCTCACCCAGTGGAAACAGAGGTCCTTGCTTGGTGAGATAGGCAAACCATGACAGATCACCAAAGTTCAATATTTTTTCAAGTACAGTTTTGTTTATTTATTATTTTTAAAGGATTTTATTTTTTTTTAAGTACTCTCTACACTCACTGTGAGGCTCAAACTCAAAATCCTGAGATCAAGAGTTGCATGCTCCACTGGTGGAGCTGGCCAGGTGCCCCTTCAGTACAATTTTAAAGTAGACTTTTATGCGTGTTGTTTAAAGGGGTTTGTTTCAAAGCTTAAACCTAGAACACAAAAGCTATATTTTAGAAATGGGCAGGATGTCTGTCCATGTCAGTGAATTCATCATCGTAGCTTTCCTCATTAAAGGCATCTGAAGACAGCCATCAGGTCCCCGGAGGCCCTACCCCAGGACCGTGTGGCCCAGGATGTGGGCTCTCCCACCATCAGCATCTCACGCCAGAACGGTGCATGTATGACCGAGGCCAAGCCTACAGTCGTCACAACTACCCTACATCTGTGGTTTATGTTCTATGGGGTTTTGACAAATGTATCACTGTTGTAGTGTCCTACAGTGTCTTGTCACTGCCTGATGCCCCCTGTGCCCCCTTCTTCATGCCTCCCTCCCTCACATCTCTGGCAACCAGTCATCTCCCCCGGGCCCACAGAGTTGGCTTCTCAGACTGGCGGACACTTAGCAAGGTGCAGCTAAGGTTCCTCCGTGTCTTTTTCTGTCTTCATAGCTCACTGATTTTTATCCCTGAATGATATTCCATCGTGTGGAACGTCAACATCTGTTTGTCCCTTCACCTTTTGAAGGACTCCGTTCTTCCCAGTCGGCTTAGAACAGCACTCTGCGCTTGAGGTGGGACGGGGCAGCACGGCCATGCCGCCCCCTGCACCAGCCCCTGGCCCCGGGGTGGACGTGGCTTGTCTGTACGCCTTGGAAACCCTACCAGACAGGGTCGAACTTGCTTTCAGGCTGTCGTATAAAGAAAGAGGAAAACGGTTTAGTGTGTATTTACTCAGATACTTATCATTTCAGGTGCTCTTGGTTTGTCCCTGATGTCCAGGTCTCCTCTGCTGTCCTCTCCCTTTGTCGGAGGAATATCCCTTTGGAGTGGGTCTCCCCATGACCAGTTCTTTTACTTTTCCTTCACCTGAAGATGTCTTTATTCTGCCTTTATTTCTGTAGGATCTGTTCATCTCGTAGAATCCCGGGCGGACAGCTCTTTCCTTCAGCGTGTTCCCGATGTCCCTGCCCTCCGGCCCGCTGGTATCTGGCGCGAGTTCTGGGCCCCGTGGTAGTGGTTCTCAGGCCTGTGGTCTGTTCTGTTTGGCTGGCTGCTTTCGAAATGCTCTTACTTTGTCTTCGGTTTTCAGCAATTTGATTATGATCTGGGCATGGAGTTCTTTGAGTTTATTCTGTTTGAGGTTTGCTGAGCTTCTTGGGTGTGTAAGTTTACACCTTTCACTAGATTTGGGAAGTGGTCAGCTATTATTTATCCAAAAAAATGTTTCCAGCTTCACACTTTTTTCTTCTTTCCTTCTGGGACTTCAGTGATACAGATGTCCAACTTTTTTATATTCTTCCACATTCCATAAGCTCTGTTCATTTTGTTTTTGCACCTTTTGTCTGTTGTTCAGTTTGGATAATTTCTACTGATCTGTGTTCATTTTATTACTCTACTTCTATCTTCTCCCATCTCCATTCGGGTGGTGAGCCCATCCAGTGAATTTTTTGTTATAATTTTTCTTTTTTTTTTTAAGATTTCATTTATTTATCTGATAGAGCTCAAGCAGGGCGAGTGGCAGAGGGAGAAGCAGGCTCCCCCCTAAGCAGGGAGCCTGATGCAGGGCTCAACCCCAGGACCCCGGGATCATGACCTGAGCTGAAGGCGGACGCTTAACCGACTGAGCCAGCCAGGCGCCCCTAATTTTTTCTTTTTAATTCTCAAATTTCCATTTGGCTGTAACTCCTGTGCTGAGACTTTTTATCATTCCACTTGTTTCAAGAGTGTCTGGCTTCGTCCCTGAAGCCTGGTACACCAGCTGCTTTAAAGTCTCTGACGATTCATTTCAGAGTGGGCTTTTCTTAATTATTTTTTCTCTTGAGAATTGGCCAGACTTTACTGCTTTTTGTTTAATATTATTTTATTATGTTATGTTAATCACCGTACATTACATCATTAGTTTTTGATGTAGTGTTCTGTGATTCATTGTTCTCGTGTAAAACCCAGTGCTCCATGCAGTACATGC